TTTCACAGCTGCCTCGGAAGTTATAGCTGCACATGTGTTTGCAGGAAATGACTTCACTTCACAAATAACAAATACGACAGATTCTTTATTCTACGTTTCGACTTTGTCTGTAAAGAATTGTGCAAACAAAAGCAGTGTCAATGCAATGAGGTTTTCTCATTAAGCTTTAGGTCGTATGGTTGTGTGTTTGATATGTTGTTTCAGATCAAAGGTTTTGTTGTCCAAAAGATATTTGACATAAGGGTGGGTTACACTTGCCTTTCTTTCTTCTTGCTCTTTCCTGCATCAAAGGAACACACATATGTAGGGCGAAGGATAAGGGACATATAAAACAACAAAACTGAAGTCCCAGACACCATCCTCTGTCAGGATATCATGATCGGGGAGAAACTGGAGACGGGGGCTATTTAAAACCCTGTTTGTGAGTGGGGAGATGAAGGGAAGTTTAAGACCAAAGTTATAGTACAGATGTGCACATAGCCATTCTGCTGTCTGCAAAACAGTTGAGAAAACACTCTGTTTTTATAAATTGCCCAGGGAGACCCACATATCTGCTTTACTCATCATTGGACACAATACATTTCAAATTCTGTTTAACACTGACCATCTGCCCCCTTATCTGTTGTTTGTCTGTTTTAACATTAAGAAATATATAGTTTGGGGTCACTGAGTTTTTTTTTTTTTTCAAGAAATTAATATTTCAGCAAGGACATTAAATTAGTCATAAGAGTTTATAATGTTACAAAATATTTATATTTCAAATAAACGCCATTCTGTTTAGCTTTTTATTAATCAAAAAATCATAAAAATCCTTATCCTAATGTTATTTCCACAAAAATATTAAGCAGCACTACTTTTTAGCATTAATAATAAGAAGAAATGTTTCTTGAGCAGCAAATCAGCTTATTATTATTGTAATGATTTCTGCAGGATCATGTGACACTGAAGACTGGAGTAATGATGCTGAAAATTCAGCTTTACTATCACAAAAATAAATTACATTTTAAAATAAATTAAAATAGAAAACAGTTATTTTAATTTGTAATATTATTTTGCAATATTACTGTTTTTACTGTTGATCACATAAATGCAGCCTTGGCGAGACTTTGAAAAATATTTACAAATATTACCGACCCCAAACCTTTGAGCCGTAGTTTATACATATATAAACCTCAATACTATTTCAGCCTTTTCTCTGTTTCCTGCCAACTGACAGTTGAGGATGTATCTGCATCAATGCATCCTGCAATTACATTAGATTATATTTAATTGCACCAATTACCAAGAAAGGCCACATGCCATATAGAGATTCCATCATCACAAGCTGTTTGAAATCTCAGTCCACTAGCAGTCAGATGAAAAAATGCCGAGGACAAACATAAACATGTGTGTATTCAAAAAGCTGCAGAGGTTGATGTTTTCTGTAAGGACTTCCTGGGATGTGTAGTAGATTTGTCCTCATTGGATGCACTTTTGCTCTCTTGTACCTCTTCATGTTTCTAGCCTGTAAGATTCAGTGAATTTGGACAGTGTGGTACAATATCAACATGCTAAGTGCATTGTTGCAGCACTATTAGTACTGACTGTACAAAGGGACATGCTAGAGAGGTGTTGTGAGGTGTGTTGTTTTATAGCTTCCATGTCTTTTAGAAAGAGAATTAGCTGAGTTGTCCAGGAGTTATAATGGTCATGCTCTTAGCACAAGTGTGTTTGTGTGTTACAGGAAACCACTATCTCATCTCCCTGCTCTCGTCATGCAGCTGTCTGTTCTCTAACTCACTTTATTCAGTTCAGCTAGTTAAGTCCAATTTTATTTGTATAGCACCTTTAGAAACAACTTTACCCCAAAGTCCCTGAATTCAAATAATAACAAGGAAAACTCCCTTAAGAGGGCGGAAAATAAAAAGAAATCTGTTTAAAGCTAACTTTGTACTTTTTAATAATTTATTCCAAAATAATAACTAAACACATATTTCATGTAGGCTATATTTGATTTGTTTACTGATTGTTTTCGGATCATCGGTCATCGAAGCTCGTTATATTTGTACTTAGTTTATATACTAATGGGCGGTGAGATTCAAAAGTAGGAATTAATTATAGTTTTTGTATAATTTTATATCAGCTCCACTCCCTTTTAACCCAGGAATTGTCACTCCAAGAAAGACAGAATATTCTTGTTGTCCTGTGTATCTTTGTTACTTATGAAACTGCTGAGTCCATGCAGGGCAGAGGCAGAACAGAGAAATCCAGGAGACATGAAAGAATGCTCAGAAATGCAGTACAGACATACAAGACTTAGCAATGAATGACAGAATTGACCAGGCTTATATAGGGTGAACAAACAAAGTAAATGAGACACAGCTGAAAGTAATGAGTTCTGATGAGTCCAGGCAATGTATTATGGGGAATGAAGTCCGTAAGAGAATTTCAATAGTCTGTGATGGAGTGCCTCCTTGTGACACTCAATGGCCTTCCAGCTGGTGATCGTGACATTCTTCATATTGTGCAATTGTTAAATGAATTCATGGAATATTTAACCCAAAAATGAAGAATTTAAATAAGTCTCGTTTGATTGTTTATTTTGGAGAATCTGTTCTGCACAACAACAGTTATTGAATATTGAATATGTTCTGTCTGTTAAGCTCTAAAACAGGGCAACAAAGCACAATATTCCTCATGACTAATGTGCTATATTTAAATATTCTGACGTCATTTGAGAGGTTAATGTGTGGAACAGATAATCTTAAATTAGTTCAGATCATTGAGTCAGTCAGTTGAAATCGAGAATTGGGATTTCCGAACTGGATGTATGGATTTATGAATTGCATTTTCATGTGGTAAACTCGCAGTGAATCTTTTCTATATTGTTCCACTAAATTTAGACCTCTGATTAACACTGATTGTGCAGACAAGGCAGCACACTATAGTGTGGTGAAAATCGAGTTTTTAATGTGGTGTTTACTTTAAGACAAACCAAGTGCAAATTCACAAGTCTACACCATGGTGAGTATTTTCTCCTTAAAACGGCAGTTTACCAAATACAGTCTCAAAAATAACCAATCCAGTCAACGTGTGGGGCAGGGCTTTTCCTATCATACCTATCATGCTCTGTGGCCATTTTAACACAGTGAGAAAAAAAAACACAGACAGGAAAAATCATGGTATAACGGGTGAATTATATCATGTATTTTAAGATGTTATGATGATCTTTATGTCTTTTTCCATTGACTTTATATGATGTTCAAAGCATAAGGATGCTGATTTTTAGAAGGCCTGTCTGACTCTGAGATGGCAAACGGGAACATAGTTTGTGTAATATTAGCAACACATTATTAGCTGTTTGATAACGTAGTCAAGCAAAAGGCTAATATGTTCAAGTGTGTCCGACGTTGTAGAACTCTTCCTTTTCTTCTTCTGAATCAGTTTCTGGTTCAAACATATATGCCTTTTTTAAACTATAAGTGGACCACAAGTCAGTAGTATTCTGTAATTCTCTAAATTGTATTAGACACTGTTTTGTAAAGCTCTTTTAATGGTTAATATAGCTTGTCTAATGAGCACTGTAAATTATGTATTATTCAGCCACTGCCAGTGGCTGAGCAGAACTCTATCCAGATAATCAGAATTCTGTACTATTTAGTCCTTGGCAGAAAATAATATTTCCAAGTAAAGTCAAAGGATATTTTCCCTTAAAATCTTGGAAATTGGGATCCAAGCCCAAGAGCTGTTGCAAATAAAGTTTTGAATTTAGATTGCACAGTGGAAAAATGCTGAAATGGACTCAGGCCTGCACTCTGTGCCATGTTGTTTTGGTAGTGCAGTGAAGTGGTAAAGATGGCTCAGTCTTCTGGAATTAGTCACTGTCTGTGAACTCCCTCAGAGTCAAGAACAATAAGATGAATGTGCTAATTAGACCCCGCCTCCACTCACTCACACCAGCTCAGAGAACCACTCGGCCAACTCTACTCAAGTAAACGCTGCACAATGGTATCGCTGTTTACAACATCGGACACATAACGGTAATTAATATGATTAGCCTTTATCAACCCTTTCCAACTGTTATCAAACAGCTAATAATGTGTTGCTAATAATGTTACATGAACCATGTTCCCGTTCGCCATCTCAGTTTGCCTCCAAAAAATCAGTATCCTTAGAAACGCTTTGAACAACTCAGAACTTCAGTGGAGAAAGGCATATAGTTCACCGTAACATCGTAATAGACATCATATACATAATTCACTCACTATATTGCTAAATGTACATGATTTTTCATATCAACATAAAAATATACCTGGATAATCTGGCTTATCTTGAGACTCCTCTGCTTCAGAGAATAGTTAATGATATGCTAAAGCCCGCCCCCTCGTGACGGGATTGGTTACAAGGTAGTTTGTGACGTAAGAAACTCCGCAATGACTTTGCACTTCCCAGTTCCCAGCTGGCATTTTAACGTCGAGTCACTGTTGAATCAACGTCAGGTGCCAGTGTTGGATAACCGTTGAATTTTGTTTAGATTTTGCTGATTGCAAATTGGATGTTGGAACAACGTTATTTTTCTACTGATATATTTTAACAAAATGTTTAAAAGTCATGGTTGTAAAAATAATGTTGATTTGACGTACAACTCAAATTTTTTTGATATTTCTATGTTGAATCCATAGTGAGTCAACAACACAACTTCAACTATTTGGTGTTCAACGTTGTTTTAACGTTGAATTAATGTTTTTTCATAAACTGACATTATTTCAACCACATTTAAACGTTTAATGTCAGGTGTTGGTTTGTCTTAAAGCTTATTAAAAAACATAAACATATAAACAACATTAAAAACTTGATTTTCACCTCAGGGAAATAGGCATTAAAGTGTACTAAGGCCTTTTATTTCTTTATTTCTTCATATCTGCATGTGCATATTTGAAGTACGCTACAAGTGCACATTCAATACAGTTAAATGGCACTTGTTTTTCACAAGGGTAATCTGATCTTTCATATGTGTGTAGGCCGGACAGAGGCTGAGCTGAAGAACTTCAGTCCTCATTACAGAAGGCAAAGCTGTGTTGCCTTCTTTTGCCATCTGAAGGATGAGGTGGAGCAGCACAGAGCAGGACAGGCCCAGCTCCTCAAACAGAAGGTGAGAGCATAACTATCTTATCATGACAACATCAATTTATGATGCGATTTTATCACTTAAGATGTCAGTGTTATCTGATTCATGATGTTGCAGAGTCTTACTCTCACTGATTCTAATACGTTTCACTTCAAGGAGCCTCCGCAGGCTTCAGAAGTCCTGTACAAGGACAGCATGCTTTACTTTGATGACAACAGAAAGTGGAAAGAGAGATTTGTCGTGGTCCGTGCTGACTATAGCCTAGAGCTACATGATAGCCAGGAGGTCTGTAAATGTCATCTTTCATCATCGCCATGTAAAAGCTGCTTTTTTTGATAGAACATGCTCATGATTCTGTTATATTGTATGCATCCAGTCGTATACAAAGGGAACCCCTGCACGCCACAAACTCCTGCCAACAGGAGGCGCTGTATTGACCTCAGAGGAAAAATACACGGCTGTCGTAGACAAGGCCTTTCCCGACCTTAATGGTGAGTGTTTCTCTAGTTTACATCCTGATCTCTCTCTTCCTGTTGGAATGAGTGTCCTTATTTTGAAAGTTTGCTCTGTATAGTATGAGTGTGTGTGGTATAAATGACATGCTAAATTCGCCATGTTGTCATTATCATGTGACCTGCGTCAGTTGCGTCACTTCACTGGCATTCACAAATCCTCTCCCGTGGCCTCATGGGATCGTAAAGTGTCCATTGTATGCACACTTCAGAATCTCGTCGGAAGTATTAGGTCATCCGGGTACTTTTTGCCTACTCTTTTATGTATACTGTGAATTTGGACACTCTTTTGTCACATAGTGTTTTTCGCCTACTATATAGTAGGGAAGTATGCAATTTTGGATGCAGCCTTTGTGTGTTGTTCAGGTTCTAAGGAAGAGCCCTCCGTTCCTGTGGTGGCGGTTCCCGGTCCTCTTCCTGTATACCTGAGACTGCCTTACAGACGGGACTCGTTCTTCTGTTTCCAGCAGGAGGAGAAGCGGGCCCGCTTTGTCTCGATCCTGAACGACTGCGTTCGTCATCAGAACCAAGGTAGCAGATCAGCACTACCTCAGTCTCAGAGGCCACTTTTGTTTTGCGTTGTATGTGTTTGCAGTCTGTTTGATCAAATTCATGACTTATACCCACCGGGAAATATTTAATTCCTACAGAATGTCTATTTACTCATAATGAAAGTACTTCTTGATTTTGGTCTGACTAATTCTCTGTACACCCACCCAACTCAACCATAAACACATGCTATATTACAGTAGTGAGGCTGATCAGAGGATACCTCAAGCTGCTCTGCTCTCTCATCAGTTTACTACTGTTTTTCTTTAGTGGTCATGGTGATACACTAATAATATTCAGAATTGCAAAGCTCTCTTCCTGCGTACTTGTTGCTTAGCGGTTACGCAGCATCTGCAGAGCACGAAGATGTGTGCAATAATTTTCTACTTCGTCACACAACTGAAAAAGGCTCTTCACACCTTAATGCTTTAAATATTAGGTGAAAGGAGAGTTAACCACCTACACAGAGTAAAATCACACTGTTGTTAACACTATTTTAACATTAAACATAATAGTTTTGTTGTTGTTGTCTGCTATTGTTAGCTGAAAGTCAGATTAGAAAGGACTTCGAAATAAGTCTCATGAATTGAGGTATCATTCATCTTTGTGGCATAAATGCTGTAGGACGAGATATGCACCAAAGGCTCTTAGAGTTAAGGGTCAAATCCCAGAACTTTATTATAGAAAATAATAATAACAGTGATGATGCATTTAGCACAAATGACTGTATATATTATTAGTGTTGGGGAATCTACATCAAATCTGTAACTTGCCAAGATAGCTACTCATAATGTAAAGTAGTTTAACTACATTCACACCACCCTTACAAAAAGAAGCACACCTACATTTAATTTTATAAACTAAACTTAAACAGGTCAATTTTATTTATGTAAGTATATTAAAATCAATGTATTAGTAGTATATTTGTAAGTTTACTATTTTAATACTTCTTTTAGTTTATAAAAGTAGGCTATACTTAAGTGTTCTTTAAGTGTAACAGTGGTAAACTTCGAATACACAGCTAGTTTAGAAATTGTATTGCAAATGTGAACTGTCATAAAAGTGAACTTATAAGGTATAGTGTTAGTTTACTAGCTATATACTTCTAGCCCACATTTTAGTTTATGAAATTACACTTTGAAGTATACTCTTACTTTTCTTAAGTATATCTTGGTCAGAAGTTTAAGTATAAGTAAAGGCCTCATATACTTGTCAGTAAGGCAAGCCAAGCTTAGCATACATAAGTACAATTTTGTAAAGTATATCTCTAACAGCAATTGCACAATTAAACCTCTTTTTGCATTCTTTTGAAGTTAGTTTAGACTACAATTTAAGAGGACAATATCTTTTAAAATATGTTATTAACAATTTATATAATTTAAAACTATTTATTTATTAAGCAATAAAGGTTTTGATTGAATCCTGATCATGGTTACGATTATGGTAATAGTTTAATTTACACTAAATACAGCTAAAAACTGAATGGAAAATGTAAGGAAGAGCAGCATTCAAATATTTATTTTAAGAATGCACAGGGACTTCTGCACTGAAGCTCAAATCAGTGAGTCGTTTCTTTTTAAACCGGTTCATTTACATTAACAATCCAAATGAACCGACTCACTAAAACGAATCGTCTTCCCAATGCTTCTTATGTGTTTAAGGTGAGTGTGTTATTATTACCTCATATAAGTGCACAATACAGTGTCATTAAAAGTAGCAATGTAGCGTTTTGTCGCGCTTCGAAAAATGTAACTTATGAATGGATTTTTTTGAAAACGGGTACTTTTAAACTACCGTAAACGTAAAATGTAGTTGTGTTAGTGGTATTGCAGAAGTGAAAGTGAGATTGTTTATCCCTTATTTAACAGAACATGTCATTTAGGATGGGTTTCTCAGCTTTCTCTTTTCATCATAGCCTTTCATCACACTTGCTGATTCCAAGCCATTTCTGTGTCTTGGTCATGTTCCTAAAAAAAAAGAGAAGTTTCTGAGTAGCGCTCACATGATCCTGTATTACACAATGAATTCATCTGACAGAACTATTCTCCTCTCTCTATTATCTGCAGATTATCTGAAGAGTATGACATGTGAAGTGCAGGGTTTCCTGAAGGCTATTCACTTCTACAGGCAGGAGAAGGGCCACTATGAATCATGGGATATGCTGACGGGCCGTGACTGTGAGGTGGGCATTCTGGTCTATATTACTCACAACCAGAGTCCACTTCTTTTGAATGAATCAGATGAGTCATGCTTCTTTTTTGAAAAGATGAACAAATAGTCTGACTGTGGATGTCATGGTGTGGTCAGCAGACTGGTGGAGTCAGAGGCTGAGTGTGGACAGAGCGGCTGGTCAGGGATTTAGGAGTGTGTCATGCTGTTAACATCCCATTTGTGAATCATTGGACTGTCGTTTCATGCTTGACTGAAACCTTTGTGTTCGCTCGCAAAACTTTTGCATTCCCTAGAAAACTTTGTGTTTGCTCTCAGAACTTTTGTGTTCCCCCCAAAAAAACTTTGTGTGCAAATGCAAACTCTCTCAGGGGAACGCAAATGTTTTGCAAGCCAATCCAATAGCATTAAATTAATTTCCTCCTATCTCAATTTTTTTTTTATACAACACCATGTCCCTTTAGGGGCTCATAGTCCAGATGAAATTTGTTGCTTACAAATAATACCCCTTCTCAATATGTCACATGATTTGAAGTACTTTATCATTTATGTTTGTAGCACAGATGTATTGGACGTGTTTAGAATGAATCGAATAGTGATATCTGCCTAAGCAGGCACAACAAATTATTGATATGTTGTTCCTCATGCCAAAATTCCTCTTGTAATCTCCTGTTGTTATGAAATCTTGAGATCACAAATGGGGTCTTTTACAGGATGTCCTGTAGCCACTCAAGGAAACACCTCTGCCTTCCTCTAACTATTGTTGGGTCCCATTTGGAACCCTAATTTGGTGTACAAGGTGTTGTTGTGTAAGGGAACTGAAAGCAGACATGAAAATAGGCTATTTTAACTATCCGTCACTATCACAAAACAAATCCTGAAAAGGTGATCTGGACCAACACAATGTGTTTATTGCTCATCTACATAAATAAACAAATGACATATTGCTAACCAAATTATTATATTATATTACACTACCTTGACGTATATCGTTTGGAAGTTATGGTTCAGTAAGATTTTAATAGCCTACTTTTATTTAGCCAGGACACATAAAGACATTTATAGGGCCCTATCATACATCTGGCGGAATGCAGCCCCAGGCGCGATGCGAGTGTTTTTTGCTAGTTTCAGCCCAACGCAGTTATCATTTTCACATCATGCGCCACGATGTTTAAATAGTAAATGCATTTGCACCCATTTGTGCGCCCATGGGCGTGCTGGAAACGAGGTGTGTTGAGGCGCATTGTTGACGCTTTGCTATTTTGAGGCAACTGAAATAGACTGCGCCATTGACCAACTGAAACCTGGTCTAAAGTCAATGACGCAACATTTTTTTTGTTATTTAAAAAGCGCGTTAGTAATGTGCGCCTATAGGTACACTCTGCTTATTACATTCACAGGGACGCGAAGCAGCACATAAACATGCCAAATATTAAAAATAAAAGGATTACAGTGTAAAATATTATTATTACTATTGTACATAAAGATATGGTGGAATCCGGCTTGTCCCGTGGATGGTCTGCTAGCGCACTTTAACCTTGCGCACGAGCAGATCTGTTTGCTCTCTTCAGTTTTTCCTCTTGCAAATTCCGTCATGTAAATAACAATCCGCCAAGGCATGAGCGTTACTCATTAAGAGAATAGGGACAACCCTTTTAGACCATGTGCCGGCCATTTTTCCCGTCGTTAAACTAGCAAAAATGGATTCGGACACGCCCTAAGTGCAATCTAAGTGCTTTAATGCGCTTAGATTGTTAAAATAGGGCCCATAATGTTACAGAAAGGTTTATATTTCAAATCAATTCTTTTGAACTTTCGTATCATCAAAGAATGCATCAAGGTTTCCACAAAAATATTAATCAGCACAACTGTTTTCAACATTGATAATAATAAGAAAAATGTTTCTTGAGCATTAAAGGCAGCATATTAGAATGATTTTACTGTATTTTTGAGAAAATAAATGCAGGCTTGGCGACCATTAGTGATTATATTATATTATACATAAAAAATTTCTGTGGCTACAGTCAATTAAATAATGTAATTATACAAAAATTTTGATTGTAGAATAACCAATCAAAATCAAAAAGTTATGTAATTATTTTAAATGCATATTTAGTGACACATATTGGTAGACGATTTTATTTGCCTGATCAATACAACTCAGTATCCACGTCGGACTGCCACATCTGTGTGGTGATTCAGTCTGATTCATTGCTGTGACATTATAACAACCCAGTGATTCTCCATTATGAATATTTTGTGTCTGTGACTCAGTCCGGTATCATTACAACTCCATGGGCTTCTGTTGTGACTCTCTCTGCCTGCCTGCAGGTGCTGGCTAACCTGGTGATGGAGGAGCTGCTGCCCTCACTGCAGACGGAGCTGCTGCCCAAGCTGAAAGGAAAGAAGGCAGAGAGGAAGAGGGTGTGGTTTGCGGTCAGTGAGATCAGCCTGCTCCTCACAGCTATTCTTTGACACGCTATGTGGTGAATGTCACAGTCAGGCAACATTTTGGCTGGTCCATTCTGAATATATAAATCGTTTTTCTGGCCTCCACACCATCCAAAACAATTCAAGTTTTATACTATGAAACACAATTCTCTTTCACAGACTGTATCAGTTGGATGAGGTCACTGCTCTATAAAAGGACTTTTTGCCGTTAGTCAACATATAGACAATGTTCATGATGAAGTTGGGATTATGGTGGCCACATTTAGGATGTTTTTTTTTTTCTCTTAGACAGTGGAAGCGACCTATGAGCTTGTGCATGAACAACTGCGAGAAGGATTGGAGAGTTTGAAAAATGAGTGCAGAGATACCACCAAACAGCAGGAGGCGCTCATCCGCTCAGACATGGACCAGATCATCAACTCACAAACATTCCTGGAAACTAAATTGCAAGGTATGGACAGACAGTCTATACTGCGTATTTGCCCTACATACAGTGTTCAGTTACCTTCTATTATAAAAAAAAAAAAAAAAAGTATACTTTTATTCAGCAAGGAGGCATTGCATCACGGTTTCCACAAAAATATTAAGCAGCACAACTGTTTTTAACATTTAGAATCATGTGACTGAAGACTGGAGTAATGATGCTGAAAATACAACTTCGCCATCACGGGAATAAATGACCATTTAAAATATTTTAAAATTCAGTTATTACAGTGTTTCTGTGATTATTTTACTGTTTTTGATCAAATAAATGCAGTCATGGTGAGCATAACAGACTTCTTTCAAAAACATCTTAGCAACCCAATTCTTAAAATCTAAGCTACCTTTTGAATGGTATTCAGTATAGAATAATGTTGCATTTAAAAAAAATAAAATCCTTCATATCATAACACTCACACAAATATCATTAACCCATTGTATTTTAAGTGAGAGCACACCATAGGTGGAATGATATAGTTTATTTAATATTTAGTAAAATTGGTGAATCATTTTCTCCTTTTTTGCTGTCATAAATAATGTTTAAAGCTAAATAATAATTGGAAACTACATTACAATTCTGTGAAATGAGTTACATTTTTGCTAAAATACTGTGTATCAGCTAATGACTGTAATTCTCATTACATGCTTTAAAGATTCAGCCTTTTTTTATTTAGTCATACAATTTCATAGTTTTGCAAGTGCCCCGGACCACATAACCATAATAAAATCTTGTTTATTAGCAACCAGTGAATGCGTAAACATATGACCACCTTCAACCAGAGTATTGACTTACATTATGTTAAGACAATCAGCTTACACAAAACGAAATATTACCATATATCTGAACATTTTCATGCATGTAAATGTAGTCAGCGAGGCATGCCAAATCTTAACGTTGTACGGCACCCTTTTGACTTCCTTTCTGTTTGTGTTAAGCTTTAGCATCAGAGCCAGCCATGAAATACAGTTCAGAGAGCGTGGCCCCATACCTGACCTCTATCCTGGAGGAGCTGATGGGTCCGGTCAGCACGGGCTTCCAGGCCGTGAGGCTGCTGTTGGAGGACGAGCTGACCCGAGTCTGCAAGGATTTCCCTCAGGGGGGAGTCACAGAGGAACTTCAGAGCGTAAGAGACTGCACAACATTTAGAAATATGTGGTAATATGGCAAGTTCTGAAAATGAATATTTATCTGCTGATTTCAAACTTTTCCTGGCCAAGGCTATTGCACAACACTTGAAGCAAATCAGGTCAGTTTTTCCACTAAGAGGAAAGTGAAGTGTCAGACAGCAAAGCTGACGTGATTAGGTCACGCTGGAATAATGATCATCTGAAGTTCTCATAAGTCATGCCTGTCCTTTTGAAGGCTCTGCAGCAGGCGGGTCGTGACCGGATTGAGGACTGTTACCAGCACGTGAATGTCCTGAAAGAACAGCTCCAGGAACTCCGAAACCGCTTCAAGTTCTCCAACTCGACTCGAGTAGTCCACTGCACCCAGAATCAAATGCAGCAGGTGTGTTTCCTTGCTCTTGGCTGGGTGTTGTTAAATATTTCATCTAGCCTTCTGACTCAAGTATAATTGCATACAACTTTTTTTTTTTAGACCTCAGTAGTGGATATAAACTACTGGAATTATATGTGTCATATAGACCGCAAAAATGAAGTCAATGGAGAGCATTGCCTCATCTTGTCATGAACTTTGGTTCCCCCTACAGGTCAAAGTAATATAAATGAACTGTGGCGTGGCTGTTGTTTTGTTCCACTCTTTTTTAGTTGATGGAGAATGCAGTGTACACTTTTGAGCTCCTGCTTCAGGCTGCCTTAAAGGATAAACCTGACAAACAGGCCTCAGTCATGGAGAAAGCCAAACTACGCGTCCTCAAGGTAGGCTTTGCCCACATTTACAAAGTGTATACATGTGCAAGGCAGCAGTACAACTTCTTAGTAGAATAACTCCAATAAACGTGACATAATCATTATGGAAACTTTTGCATTTGCCTTTAGCAATTTGACTATGACAGCAGCACAGTAAGGAAGAAGATATTCCAGGACGCCCTGGTTGAGATCACCCTGCCAGCCATCAGGAGAAACCTGGCCCCCGGCTGCAAAACTGTACGCACTATTCAGCTCTTAACCAGTTTGTAAAAAAAAAAAAAAAAAAAAAAAAATTTATACAATACATCTTGTAGAGATATTCTAGCAAGTTCTGTTTCTCTTTAATAAATTCAAATCAATTTTGTTACACAAACTTTTTTTAGAGGTGGAAAAAATCCAATACTTGGCCTAAACTGTATACAGATAAAGCAACAGTAAAGGCCTGTTCACACCAAGAACGATAAATTGTTCTGTTTATTCTGCAGTTATGCTTTCAATGCTTGAGCTCTTTAAAATCTGCTGGATTCTGATTGGCTGTCATTGTTTTTATCGTTCATCAGCTGGAAAAATGGATGATTCTGACGATATTGTTTCTCTGGGCCGTTATTGTTAGTTTTGATGTGGACTCTGCTATTCTTTTTTTAGAACTACTTTAGAGCTGCACGATTCTGGATACATTTAGAATCATTCAAATGGAGATCACGAATCTCCCACGATTCTGACAACTAAACAAAACAACATAATTTACTAGAGGTTCAGACAAAATGTTAATTGTCTACTGACTCACTCATAAATACTTCACTTGTTTCATTACTCGATGAATCGGCGTGTTTGAATGAATGATTGACAAATACATTTTTTAACAGTAACTTTAGCCACCTACTGGTGTAACAATGTAATGGATATAACATTTATTTGAAGCGCCAAGTTACTTCTAAAAGGTGATTTGCTCTTTTGATCGCTGCTGTAGACATCAGTGTAGGCCTCCGAACTATAAACTTTTTTATCTGTGATAATATGAATATTTGTAACAGAAATAACGATACTGTGTGGTTAAAAATACTGTTTGTCAAGCTGTTTCATACCTAAACATGATAACGCTCTCTCTGGGTCAGCGGCAGCGCCAACACAGATTTTAATGTTCCGGTATTTTGTCAAAAGTTAATAGACACAGGCGAATCATTGTCATTTAGGAATAAGATCGCGTCTGTGTTTGAATCGAGATCATGATCTTTTAATGATTAATCATGCAGTTATCATTAATAGTTATCATGCTTGGTGTGAATGGGCAAAACTGGGAATCAAACTACACTGGCTGTGCTGTATGTATTTGATTCACTAAAAAGTACTGACTCTCATTAGTCATTATGGGAATCTTTCTTCACTGGTTGCACTGTGTTTGATTCTCTGAAAAGAACCAACTAATTAGAGTGATTCATTTGGGAATCGGACTATTCCGGATGCGTTTGATTCACAAAAAAAAGGTTCAGAGTCATTCATTTGGGGAATTTATGCAGAATCGACTGATATCAGGCTACCTCTCAAAAACAGCTGGTTTTGTTTGAATTGTTGACTGAATTTTTTTCTCGTTTCGGCAGGAGCTTCAGAAATTCGAACAATTCATCTTTGCAGATTACACGAACTTTGTTCAAGTGGAGAATATCTACGAGAACATACTACTCAACCTTTTGAATAATGAAGTTAACAAAGGTAAACTGTTTTAGTTGCTTGTTTTGGGTGTCTAGAGACATATTAGTGACTTCAAAAAAAAAACTCACATCTACATATTGGTCCATATGTTTGCTGTACAGTGGTGAAGGAGGCGGCCAGTCTGAAGAAGAACAACCTGTTTGCGGACAGTACTGACCTGCAGTGTGTTAGTCAAAGCAGCCTGGGTGACAGCCGCACACCGCCCCTCTCTGCCCCTTCCAGTCCACCCCAAGTGCTGGCCTTTAAACAGGCAGTGCAGAAGATCTCCTCCCCATCAGGAGGAGCTGTCAGTGAAGACACCCACCAGACACATGAGACGTCAGTCATTCCTACAGTGAAGATTACATTGTCTTCTCCAGAAGCTGTGGAACCTACATCACCGTTAAATGATGCTGAAAGCCAGCCAGATGTTCCACCGACATTACCTAATAATTCATCTCCCATTCTAGAGGTCACAGAGACGGATGTTTCCTCAACCAAACCCGAAACCATCGTACGTGCAGAGGATTCATCTTCTCCGCAACCAGAGACACGTTCCAAAGTGATGGAGGATGATGTTGCATCTGTTAGTTCAGACCAAGCACCCGTTCCTCTCGCTGATGCCTGTGAAACCCTAACTGTGGAGGCAGATGAGGAGAGTAAAGATGCAAGTACTCCACAGTCTGAAGTCAAAGAGGAATGTGTCCATACTGTCCAACCTGATCCTAGACTGACGGCCAATGCAGAAGTTCTCCCAGATGTATGTGTTGAAGGCACTGATGTGGACGCCAGTGTTTCCGATGAGCACAGTGTGGATAACAAGGTGTGCGAGTCAGCGCCATCTAGTGATGAGAATAGTAATGAAACGCAAGACAGTCCTGCAGTGGATGCTTCTCCTGCTCTTGACTCTGTTCCTGATGGTCCGGGAGGGGGCGCTGTTGCTTTAACATCAGAGCTGGAGAACCATAGCGGCATTGTGAACACAGATTCACCGGAGGAGACTGCTGACAGTGTGGACGCTATCAGAAATCTCATCATGGAGGTCATCGAGGTAGAGGACATAATAAGACCTTGTGATGAAAACCAGCCTTAAAAATGTTTGAATGAAAAGTTATCCAACTATCCAAGTTATACAACTATTTAGCTCTGCTAATAAAACCAACTACAGTGTTTCCATATCTATTTTTTTTATGATTAATCTAAATATTAACATTTAAAGTGACTTTTTGTAAAATACTTTGAGACATAGTCATGGGCCTATGTAAACAGAATTCAGTCTTTTTTAAACACTTTTATCTTGTATCATGTTAACAAAAAACGGTGGGTGTTTGTACCTGCACAGTTTTTATATAATGTTAAATAATTACATTTAATGTTGGAACTTTTTTTTTCTTTTTTTTTTAAACAATGTAAGGCTATTAAAATTAAATGACAAAAAAAGTAGAAACTACATTTTTAGATGGTACACAAATGTTTTTAGTGGACTAATTTATTCGTGTGCTATGCTGGCTTGTACAGACATCTCATTCTTTATATTAAATAACAGGGGATCATGCTGATCACTAAACATTAAACAATTATTTTGTACCATGCTGTAGTAGACTTTCTGAAAATGAGACACAGTACCTTTGTACATATGATTATCACAGAGAGTCTGTTAAATAAATTTCCACAAAACAGACAGTTTATCAGTGCATTGTTTTATTTTCTTCTGTTTGCAGTTAAGCACAATTCACATTAAATTGTCAAACTCACAGGATCATTATAGCAGCAAAGGCCAAGATGTTAGGAGGCACGTTTTGTGTCTGGAAATACAGAGCGGTCCTGAATTCATTGTGATAAATTAAAATTAAAACTAAAGTACAGTACTCTAAAATAACACTTAAAAATGAACAGACATGCTACATCTCAATCAGAAACATATAATAATCAAGTAAAAACAATTAGCATACATAAAATTGTTACAGAGGCAGCATTTAGCACCTTACATATGGTGTTATAAGATTCAAATGATTTTCACAGCAATGAATCCTGGACATGGTTTCAAAGGTTAAATAAAATACAAATAAACATGGTTAGGCAGTTAATTAATAAATATTGAATAACGTCTACTTGCATATGCAATCTGACAGACATAGCGTATAGTTTTGTTATACATGACAAGTAGTGCAAGATATTTTATATAAAGTGAGTAATGCTACATCTTTATGAAGCTGTAAATGCAGTTTATGGTCATCGGATTAATGAGAACTGGCTATTTAATAATCCATTTTACTGGCCGAAAGTTCATTATCATAACATGTCAGGATAAAATATTCAATGAATAACATTTTAGCTGCTTATTATTTAGATAATATGAAGATGACAACATTTAATCCAGTTCAGTGAATATACTTAAAGTGCACTCTCTAAAAACTACAAAAGTAAACTAAAGCTTTTTTTTATCAAAGTTTTTAAACTAAAAAATTTATAAATAAATAAAGACTATTCTGAAGCTAAATGTAACTGTCATTAGTGAGTTAGTTGTTTCATTGGTGCTATGTGGAGCATGCAGCACATTATACTTCACCTGTATGTGTCTCTTTAAAGATGAGACACACTGAACTACAGCGCTTTATAATATCTTTCATAAATAATATTAATACATTATGTAATATCTTATACAATGTAATAATGCTTAGCAGATTTGTGTACATTCAAAAAGTAAAAAAAAAAACAATTTATAACTAAACATGAATATAAAATATATAACATATGATGTACGTGAACTTTTGATTTGCTTAATGAATCATTTAAAGTTATTATAAAGCATCACCAAGCATTTTACTGGGTCTCGCTATTAAATCTGCCTTTAAATCCAAGGGTGGGCTTACATTTTGTGGAAGAGACTGGTTGGTTCACAGCGTTCGAGTTTTCAAGGAGATAAAAATGGTCTTGTAGTGAACTGTCACGCAGCGGCTCTATCTGCTGGATCCGTACCCGTGGAAGAACGGCTCATCAGGACGAAAGCCGTAGGCAGTGGCAGGACGTCCTTCAGCTCCATTACTGAGGAAAGAGATTTGAATCAAGTGAGCGTAAACTCCGATGATCATGTTACCATTAAAATGTTGCCTCTAAGAGTCACTAGATGGCCTTCTTCCATACATATGTGACCCTGGATCACAAAACCAGTCACATGTCGCACGGGTATATTTGTGGCAATAGCCAACAATACATTGTATGGGTCAAAATTATCGATTTTTCTTTTATGCCAAAAATCATTAGGATATTAGGTAAAGATCATGTTCCATGAAGATATTTTGTAAAATTCCTACCGTAAATATATAAAACATTTATTTCTGTGAGTGAATGCAGCACAATCGCGAACATAAATGGATTTTCTCAATGTTTCGATTTTTTTGCACTCTCAACAGATTCCAGATTTTTAAATAGTTAGTTTATAAACTATTTAGTTAATAAATATTGTCCTATCCTAACAAACCATACATCAATGGAGATTCTGGAATTTCAGATTATGTATACATCTCAATTTTTAAAAAAATTGACCCATGTGACTGCTTTTGTAGTCCAGGGTCACATATTATCATCAGGAGAGACGGTATCAGATGCATGTAGATCAATTTGTTAGATTAATGAAGATTCTGTATTCGTGTCAGTGCTGTGCCGATACTACACATTAATTTATTAAGCTTGAACGTTGTTGTAAATTTAAACATAAGTTAATATAAATTATATACAGTACTATAACTAAAGTATAATATTTGATATATTTTACACGCACACAGACGCACACAATTTCTATGAAAATCATTATCTAACTGGCTTTTAAATTCCAAGAATGACTTTTGAGAGCTTGAAGTATCAGGTAGAATAAGCTGAAAATTAGCCACAAACCAGTAACATTTTGCACTCCATGCAATAGTTTTGCAGCACAAGGGAGTATAAAAATGTGCTTATGAAATAATAGCGGTATCATTTATTTATCCTTTACAATTTCAGCTGTACAAATGATTATTCCTGAAAATTAAAAATATTCTTATATTGTTGGTTAAAAAAAAAGGTTTAATCTTTAATGAAATGTATATATATTCTCACATATGTAGATGTTACTAAAAATAAATGTAAAAAAAAAAGATCCATTTTGGTGGTGGTCCAAGAGACTGGATACATTTCATAACCTTATAACCACCAACATTGATTAATTGTAATAATTACGTTAAATGAAAAGTGTACAAAGAAAATATAATAAATGGATGCACTAAAAATATACAGACTTACAATCACAGAACAAGAAGCAACCAATAAAAATAAGACCGAGTCATCTTGTTTATGACCATATGAACCAGAGATATAAAAACAAGTTATCCAAGTATAAAATGAAAAAGGCAAGCTTTCAATAAAACCTGCTGTCCAAGATCCGTAGTAAAGTATGGGACGCATATTGTCCCATGTAAGACTGCCAAATGCCAAGATTTCAATGCAATGAGCTCTGCATGCCAATGTAAGCCATACCTCCTACACTACAGTATATGAGCCTATACATACTGGTTTAACATACTGCATACTATTGCCCATTGGCAGCTTACATTACAGGCTATGATATGTACAGTATCAAGTTACAAAATGATTTGCTTGAACAAAATATTTAAGTGTAAATAGACTGAAACTATTACATTATTCAAGTAAATCTGATGAGTCTGGTTTTGTTAAAACATAGCAACTAAGACATGATGTTTCATTTTTGACTGCTCTGGGTGTAAAGGGGAGTAAAACAGCAGAGGTGTGACACGTTCTTGTCCATCTTGTACCTCGACAAGGTTTTTACACTCATTCAGGATGAACAGAGCCAGGAAAGTGCTGCGGTTCTCGAAACAAATTGGCCACTGGCTCTGTCTGCTTCCCTTTAAACCAACAGCTTCGGGTCTACGGCCTTTAAATTATGAGCTGTTTGCTTTGCCCCTCTGTGTCCATATTACATTGTGTTGTTTTTAGCCTCATATGACCTCCAGTAATCAAATACAGCTAGCTCCCCTTAGCACCCCGACTCTCACACACTCTGCTGTATAAAATATGTCTTTTTCCTATTGGCCTGCCAGATCTGTCAGGCTGAATTTGAACAGCGGGTAAGAGGGATTCATGCACGGATCGACGCCACCCGTAGGTGCTCTGAGCCTCTGTTTTTGACTCCGACACCTAATTTTACCTCCTCACTTGGGCTTCCCTTGGAAGCAAGTTCTTCAGGGCCTGTGGTAATTTATAGCAACGAGTTATCAGGGTTAGTTTTGTGCTTCAACTTGATATCACGTCATTAATTAGGGGAAGACTAAAATGACACTATGAATGAACTCAGATAAGTTATCTGAATGAACTTCGGATAAGAAAACTAATTTGAATTTGAATTCATTTGACGATTTATCTCAGTCCTGCGACCGACCCGGCCTATGATCCGTAGCGAGCACATTCCTGACCAATTATGAGGCAGCCTGTCACCTCTTCCTGCACGGGGCTTCAAAACAGGGCAGTAAAAGCTGAGTGGGGGTTGGATTGACAGCTCATAGGGAGCCAGGTCGGCCCTGATGTTCTGGGGGGAAACGGCCAAAGGTGCCAGTAAAAAAGGCCCTTTTAACCAGACATTGTTTCATTGCTCAGAGGAGTGTGTTTGCACAGGAAACGGGTCTCAGCTCTTTTTATAAAAGGACGTTTCTCCTCCTTTTTTCCCCAAGTTGTTCTCCAGCCCGCGCTTTGATCTTGTGTTCCTGTCACGTCTCCAGTTACATGCCCCTACCTTGGCTGTGTCAAATGAACAGCACCCCTTTTTTTCCCCCTTCCTTTGCCTGATTGCGTCTCCACATCCCTGTTTTCTATTTTCCTCCTGCCTTCTCGTCCAAGCTCCCCAAGGCTTTAGGGACACGAAGCGCCACACTGCTTGAATAAAGGCGGATTTGTCAGTCTGATGTGTGCACACAAAAGACACGCACACAGAACTGGTTTAACATCTGCAGACAGTGTGTCCCGCTCATGCTCAGAGTGACCAGTTTTAGCTTGATCCTGCACCTCATCTGTCTGTGGGAATCAACAGGGCTCTGGTGATAATCATATTGGTTTGTAGGACACAATACAATAATATTGCAGTGCTTACTGTATGATTATTCAAAACGGTCATGTATTGTGATCTTTTACTCATTTGTTTCTCTTTCATCTGCATTGAATTTTGGTCAATGCGCAAAAAAAGAAAAGAAAAAGCATTGTATGTTATGTATATATTTTATATAAAAAGTGTATATTATATATATCCTGTTTACATATACAAAAAGTGTATATACATACACATTACATTAAATATGCATACATATCAATTTTTATTCATTATTTGATGCTTTTATCCAAAGCAACAAATTGCATTCAAGGTTTACCTCTTTGTTCCTTTAAATCAGTTAATTTATTTCCTGGGAGAATATATTGGTGATTTCTCCAACAATGTCAAACTGCACTTGAAATGCAACCACTGGGCTTTGATGCATATCTGCAATAATGAGATACTCTAACAACCCTTGACACACATACACTACCGTTCCAAAGTTGTAGGTTTGGTAAAACTTTATGTTTTTAAAAGAAGTCTGATGCTCACCAAGACTGCTTTTTTTAAATCAAAAACACAGTAAAAACAGTAATATTGTGAAATATTATTACAATTTTAAATGCATGTTTTTTATGTATTTTAAATTCATGTAATGTATACAGTACCCGTGATCAAAGCTGAATTTTCAGCATCATTACTCATCATTACTCCAGTCTTCAGTGTCACATGATCCTTCAGAAATCATTCTAATATGCTGATTTGCTGCTCAAGAAACATTTCTTATTTTTATCAATGTTAAAACAGTTGTGCTTTCAATTTGGATTAATTGAATGCATCCTTGCTGAATAAAAGTATTAATAATAAAAAAAAGTATTTATCTTACCCCAAACTTTTGATCATTAGTATTTGTATCAAAATGTTTTACTATTGTCGTCTGGTGATCTTCTCATTAATTTATATGCAAAAATATAAAGATTCTGCCATACAGTATGAAGAATGCAAATGACTACAGTTAAGCAAACCATCTGGATTTCATTTATACATAAATTAAAGAATTAAACTGTCAAATTTATTCAATGTAATAGTACATTTTTGATACTGCTGTACTATTTTAGAACCACACAACCATACATGGAGTGAATCAAATACATGTTTCAGGTTGGCACGTGAAGTCAAACCACTCCAATTGGGCCTGCGTTCACACACATCTTTTCACAAGCATCTTAAGTAAAGACGGAGACTCTATTTGATTATTATGGTAACCTCTGTCACTCAGAGCTGCCCACTCAAATTAAACCATTCATCCCAGGACCCTAATGTTGCCCCCCACCCCTCGGTGTATATTTGAAATGTATCACTTTACAAAGAGCCGCTGGAGAACTTGCCCCTCCATCTGGATCCCCGCCTCTATCCTCACCCACATGACAGCGCGGCGGCACTCAGCGCCACAGCCGTCAGTCCGCAAAGTGTCTAAATCCCCACCCAGCCAAAACAAACAAAGCATTCTCCATACAAAGCACACAGCGCACATTAAACACGTCCAGTAAAATCAATCGTATCAAGTACGCACTATCAGGGCAAGTTTAGACTACAAGAGTAAGTATGCACTATATCAGAGCTGCATCTCAAATACGAGTGGCGGATCCATTTCCTCACAGATCAGCTCTTTGGCAGCCTGAGATTCAATGTGACCACTGGAGTGGATGGAGATGTGAAATGTTATTTCATCTGTACGCATAAGTGTGTGTGTGCGTGTTTGCTGAGGAATGTGGACAATATATTTGGCTGCATGGGACTAAAAAGGCATGTTTATTTTCGGGCCATAGAGTTACTGACAGAGAGAAAGACAACATCAGAGTAATATTACTTGGTGCTTTGTTGAACAGCTGTACTTCAAATGATTAAACAACTTACAAAAGCCAAAAATTTGATTTTTTTTAAAATACTGTTCTCTGAAGACCACAAATTTAAACTGGTTTTACTCAAAGGTATCAACAACAACAATGGCCTGATGGTCTGTGACCAGTGTGCGAAAGGGACCATCACTTGCCCTGTTTTCACTACACTACATGTTCAAAACACCAGCAAACCATAGCCAAAATATTTTGCGATGTACTGCTATAGCACTATTCTTTTTTGTCCGTTTTTTTGGGCAAAAACTGAGATCATTAATTATTGGTGCTGTCAATTCATCGATTAATAAAAAAATTAACTAACGTACTCCAAACTACTTTTAACTCAACAAGGGATCCAAGAATGTGTCACTCATTGGCATTTCTTAGCAAATACACATATGTGCTTTTATTATTCTTTTCATTAATTGGCATATCATGTATATAGTTTTGTTTTTTCTTTTACATTAAATTAATAAATTAAGTGAACTGCATTACAATACATTTAATTAATTGCCAGTCCTACATATTTAAATTGATTTCCAATCCCAGAGAAGATCTGGTCCCCCGACTGAGCCTGTTTTTTTTTTTTCCTCTATTTTTTGTCACTAATGGAGATTGGGTTCCTTGCCTGTTGTCTTTCACAAGCTTAGATGGGGACACTTACTAGTCTGTAATATTATCGATTTGACTGCAAACTTGAACTTAACAGACCTTAGTCAGGTTAGACGCCATATTGAACTTTACGCAGATGAAAACGAGGCTGTGAGGGATAGACATCCAGTCTATAAAATGGCACACAAAAGATAACGGTCCTAGATCAAAACTCCAATTTTTTAAACTGTACTGAATATTGAACGTTTTTTTTCTGTTGGAAAGACGTTTCATCGGCTGAGCAATCGGATTGCTGTTAAACAACAATACAATCCTTTGAAAGCACTCTATTTTATCCCTTACAGACTCAATTTCATTAGTCAAAAATGAAATATGGCGCTACCCTGACTAAGGTCTAGTGAACTGAGTGATGACACCACTGTTTTTAGCAGAGCTGCTTTATAGCTTCGACTTTCATAATTTGACGCTTCATGATTTTCGCAACAACGACACTTGAACAGAGTTACTGAACTGAACCAACACTGAACTGACACGAAGTGAATAGTGACAATAATTGTCTTCTGTAGAGCTTCTTATAGCTAAATGGAACTCATTTTGTAATTGATGAACTTTACACAGTTATTGAACTGAATCAACACTGAACAGACTTCAGCTAGTGACACTGTCATTGGAGAGCTGCTTTACAACAGATTTGATCTCTGTTTGCATCCATGATTCTGTTATTATCCTGTTTATCACTGTAAAGCTGCTTTGAAACAATGTGTATTGTATAAAGTGCTATAGAAATAAAGGTGACATGACTATGATTTAAGAAAATACATTAAACAAATCATTTTGCATATGTATTTAATGTAAGAGAAGCTGATGAGGGTAACAGCTGCTCACTCACCAGGCGTTGAAGTCTCCATTCTGAGAGTGGAACTGGCTGTAGAAGTCTGGACTGAGGCCGGGCTCAGGGGGCATCATACCGTCTGTACACACACACACACAGAGTATATAGAGCAAACAAACGTATGAGACAGCGACCCAGCAGAGCCACTTCCACCCAGCAGCTCTCCTCATTTATCTTCCTGACAACCTCTCACTACGACAAGCCTTTGATGACACCAACCCGACGGACAATCGAGCCAAAATACAGCATCACAATTCTCGTGGAAAATCTGATCTAAATGTAAGGGTTTTAACTTTCCATGTCTGTCAGTTTGTGGCACAGGATGTCAATCAAGTCATGTCTGCAGACAAGAAAACATGGAGTGTCTTTTGTGGTCTCAGCCATGTTCCTCTGAGGGCTGTTTTGGTGTGTATGTGTGGTTTCTAACCAGTGCTGTAGAAGAGATCAGGCTGCTCTAGGGCGTCCGGGTCGTCTCCATACAGGTATGGCTCGCCATCCTCCATCTGTCTGCTTTCCACCATCTCCAGCCACTGCGAGTTATGCCAGCGAAACTTCTCACTTTGGATCTTCTTCCCCCACTCTTCATCATACTCCTTTGCAGAACACACACAAACACGTAGATTTATTTGCCTGAGATGTGTTACACCCCTCAAACCTAAATTATACCACACAGCTGTGCAAATTCATGTTTTTTTAAAGTTGTCAAAACAGGACTGGCATTCTGCATTTCAGCGCCAGTTCTACTTGAACTCCCCACAAGAGATTTCCAGTGAATATCAGAGAGAGAGGGTGCCATACACTGTCATGCCTGGCAATCTAACATTTACCGTTACACAGACTTCTAACAGCACCCGGACCCTCCGCAGCAGATATATTTCATCCCACAATGAGGGCTTCTGTCTGAGCAGGGTTTTCCCTATAGGCTGTGGCCACTGATGGAGCCACAGAGAAACAGACTCTGGTTTAATCCAGTGAGGTCAGTGATTAAAGGTGCAGAGCCCACAGACTGGATGAAGTGCCACACACAACACACACACGTCGCACACAGCCGTATAAGCTTTCTGCACAGCCAGCACTTTTGGTGAGATGGGGAATCAGTTGATTTTGTGCTATTGGATTCTTTTGTCAACGCATGTCAAGTGTGTCAGTCTGTCTACCTCCATCTTAATACACCTCTTCCAATGTAAGTGTGCTGAACTAGAGCTTTTTTGAGATGAGTGTGACTGTACAATCAGTTAAGTATATAATAAATACAATTTAATCAATTCACATATACACTACATTCAAAAGTTTGGGTGTCAGTCAAATTTTGTAACGTATGTTTTTGAAAGAGGTCTATTATGCTCACCAGGGCTGCATGTATTTGATAAAAAAAAAAAATATATATATATATATTTTTATAATTTTTAAATATTTAATATTATAACTATTTAAAATAACTTTATATTTTTTATATTATTTAAATGTAATTTATTCCTGTGATTTATTACTGTGATGTAAATCGTAACTCCAGTCTTCAGTGTCACATGATCCTTCACAAATCATTCTGGAAATGCTGATTTGGTGTTCACATTACATTTCTTCTTCTTATTGTTGTTGTAATCAGTTGCGCTGCTTAATATTTTTGATAAATAGAACAGAATTGATTTGAAATAGAAACCTTTTGCACATTTCTGGTCTTATTTAAGAATAATATTTTTTTGCAATATATTTTCATAATCTTTCATCAAAACTCCACCTATGACTTGGCATTTTGGCTGAGGTCATCAAGCCATTATTTCGACCCCTGTCTTCCAAACACAAGACCATTTTCCAATCAAGTCCTGATGGATAGAAAGTCCCACCTTTTGTCAGTTGAATATCTTGCTTCACATCACATTATGGAAGTAAAATGGGTAGCAAACAGTTTTATGTTAACCTTAATCCCAGGTGACTGAACCCAACATGTTCATGAAGGCATTCTCATGAATGTTGTTGCTATGATAATAATATCCTCTATTTTTTGAAGAGAGCATCATTTTGCCACATCTACCCTATCAGCATCTGTTTTCGCTACAGGTTTAAACAATATAAATACACTTCTTGAGTTCAAGGGATAGGATAGTTCACCGAATTAAACGATTGTACTAATGTACAATGATGGTTTTTGTATTTTACATTGTGTGATGGTTTGCCACTATATTACTTTTTATTGTTTGTGGAACATGGGTCCAAGACAAATTCCTCTTTGGGGACAATCAAGTGCATTGAACTTTTAAACTTGAAAAATGAAAGTTATATAGTTTTGGAGTAACAGGGTGAGTTTTTGGGAAAACGATCCCATTATGAAATCTAGTTTTCAAATGCTTTGTAGATACTAGTAGAACTAGATACTTATTAACTATACTAAACTGAAGACAATGAATGAATTTGTTACTCTCGGCACAGGGCAGTGGGAAACACGTCTAGCATCGTTTGCACAGAGCTCACCCCATAAAGAAAGATTAAAAAGTTAAACCATCTCTGCTGAGACAAAGTATTAGATGTACCAATACTAACTCATGCTGAGGTTGGGATTTTTTTTCAGCATTAGCTCTGTACAGTGAGTCAACAGAGGGGTGGAGGGTGCAGGAGGAGGGCTGCTGGGGCTCAGAGCTCAAGGCCAGCTCTCTGTCCCGGGGTCTAAAGGCCCACAGAGGCGCACTGCCGCCGCCTGCTCCGCTGAATGAAAATATGGATTAATCAGCCGAGGCCCCCTGTGGCAGAACCTGAGTAAATAAGCCCTGTTTCTCTTTTCTTTGCTGTGTCCATTCATCATGTGGACAGCAGCGCAGAACTGCGCGGGAGCCCGGGGCAAGAAGCCTGATGCAAAGCCCAGAGGGCCAGTGAGAATACACACTCACACAAACCTGCACCCAATATTTTAGAGTTCACCCAAAAATGAACAGTTTGTCATCATTTACCCGCCCTCCTGTAAACATGTACGACTTTCTTTCTTATGTGGAACATAAAAGAAGATATTTTAAGAAATGTTTTTTTTTTCTTTTTTTTCTTTGTCTATGACCAAAAATGTTTGGCTACAAACATTCTTCAAAATATCTTATTGTGTTCCACAGAAAAAAGAAAGTTTTGGAACGACATGAGGGTGAATTAATTATTAGTTGGGTCAAGTATTTATTTATGTCTGTTCTAGATTGATTTCCAGTAAAAAAATATTCATTGACGCATCTAGATACTTTCTCAAAAAAAGCAAAAACAAAGTCTAATCCTGCTTGTGGATGGCAAAACTTCCTGTAGAGTTCCAGCCCCAAATAAACACCTGAACCATGGTCTTTAGGATGACTAAAAATGAAGGAAAACCTGTACCACGAACCTACCCCCTAATTTCGTGATGAGCAGCATTTACAGCAAAACAAGCTGCTCTGAGACACTGAAAACAGAATCATGAGCTGCAGTATTTGTATTTGCAGCAAAACATTTTGCAGATGGTTTAGTAATTGATTTAGGGCATTTCATGATTCACGCGAGTCATACTTCTCTAGTCAGAAAATAAGGAAATCAGATGTTTGTTGGGGCGAGTTGGAGGTCAGTTCTACAAGGATGTAGATGCTTTGAGAAACATTTTGAAATCGGATCACAACTCCATAAATCAAAATGGAGTAGATGTTAGTTGACAATGTGCAATAAAAAAAGTTTTTCATATTTTTCACTTCATCTTTCTCTGTATGTTTGTCAATAGGAGATGATCTTAAAATATCACCTATGCTACCATGAAGTAAAAAAATGATAATTATAAAGTGGGAATTTGAAAAAACATCTTAATGAGCTTAAGTAAGTTTTCATATCGAATTAATCTGTAAAATTAATTTAGCTTGAGATGGAACAACGCAGTTGATAAACATGACTGCCTCACAGAATGGCCGATGAAAGTGTAAATCTGCATACTTGATACCAACGTCAGCCTCAGCTCAAACATGTCAGTCTGCTGAGCCAGAGCTACACATCTGCACTTTCTCTGTCACCACGGATACAAACCAGATCCCACACGCACGCTTTCATGTGGCCGAGGCTTAACGAGCAGGCTAATAAAGTGAATGAAACACTTCCCCAAACAAACCTGGCTCTCAGAGTTCACCACCAATTACTGCTATCTAATGTCAGTGAGTGAGCATTAACTGCAGAGATTTTATCGGCACTGTAAACGCACATGGTCGGCATTGAGCAAAAAAACACAGAGGTCTCTGATTCAGATTTGAGTGCAACCCCATGTGTAGTGGGGTTGTTTTAGAATACTTACGGCAATAATGTCCAGAGTGTTGTCACACACTTGTCGGATCTCCACATTTTTGTCATGCATAAGGTCGATGAGGTAAGCTGGGGCCTCTTGGAGATACGGTTAAGGAGTTCAAAAATTCACTGACAATTAAAGCCCAATAATTGCTGTGTTCAATCTCAATTACCATAATTACAAATCTTCAATCAGTTAAAAACATTAACATCTTGTAAAAACTCTAACCAAATTTGTGTTCAATAAATATTACATTTTGTTATAGCCAGTGATACCTAGTGCACCTTCTTCATTCTTAAATATTAAGTAAGAGCGTTGAAGTGTATTAATGTAAAGGTATTGATAGGGTTTCAGTATTATTAATATTATGAATCGATCATATTTAGTATTATTAATGTAGTGTCATATTTTGTTGTTAATAATAATAAAGCCATACATTTTGACCAATCTTGCAATAGAAACTATGTAAAGTAATTAGTTAAAAGTACGAGGGTGTCAACATCTCAACAGTTCATTGTAAAATTTCTTATATTTTATAATCTTATAATTACAATATAATTATAATTACTTATAATTGTCAACGCCTCTTCAGATGAGAAAGAGCCAATGAATGAGTATACGAACACAAGTGCCGAAATGATATGTAAATAAAACAATACCCAAGCATCTGTCAATGCAGCGTTGCCACATAATGCTTATCACGAGGGAAACAAATGTCAGATTTGTTATTGCATTGTTGTGATCTAAGATAAAAAATATTTTATGGCACGTAGTGCAAAAACATTTCAGATGTTGAATGTCATGTAATTGAGACCATTGTGTCTGGAGTGGGATAACAAAAAAGTGGCCAATTCAAGAACTTTCTTTTCTTTTTCTCTTTGAGAGGAGCTGTATATGTTGGGACGGTCCCTATCTTAGCCCTCCACCTCCTTGCCCTTCTTAAATATTGAGTAAGAGCGTTGAAGTGTATTAATGTAAAGGTATTGATAGGATTTCAGTATTATTAATATTATGAATCGATCATATTTAGTATTATTAATGTAGTGTCATATTTTGTTGTTAATAATAATAAAGCCACACATTTTGACCAATCTTGCAATAGAAACTATTTAAAGTAATTAGTTAAAAATACGAGGGTGTCATTGGTCTGGGTCTTATGTGGTCTGTTATTGGCCTGGATGTCGGTCTACCTCAGAGGCATCACAGTATGTACTATAAAATGTTTTGCCATGAAACCCCCAAAAATGTGCTTTATGTTGTAACATAATAAAAACATTATTTAATATGTCTGAATCAACCTGAATACTTAAGCTACACAAACGAAAGTCATTTTTACGGGTTAGATCAAGTAGTAATAGATCTGTAGGGTAACAATTGTATCTTGCCACTTTTACAGTGCAGACAAAACTTTTTTTTTTTTTTTTACATTCTCCTTATGTCTAGACGTGAAAATAAGCATGCATTCTTACATTAAGCTGCAGTATTAAAGACTGAAGAACCCAACAGTATCAATGCATCGGTGAACACAGGCCAAACAGATGTCAAAGACCATTTACAAAACATCTGCTGAGAATAACATACACTGAAAATCAATTTATTGTAACAAGGATACGAGTGTCCTTAATGATGACATCTCTGGTGGCCTGGTGGAAGACCATCTGGTAGAAGACGTAGATGATCTGACACACAAATTCATCGTCTTCCTGTTGGGCTGGAAACAGCAACACAAGCAAATGAAGAACATTACTCTGACCTCATGAAATAAAGTATTTTGCTTCATTTGAAGAAGGCACAATACTTTCCTTATCACAAGAATATCTGCACATCAGCATTAAGCTTGAAATGCAATACGGGAAAACTAACAAACACGCACACTCCAGAGCAGCTGCGCAGGCATTTCCTATCCAATGGTGCCTGTTCATGCGAGCTGATGTTCAAAACCTCCTCCAGTGGATCATGTTTATGTATGAAGGCTCTCGTGAGAAGCCGCCATTTGGCGAGAGTATCAACTTTTCCTCTGAAACGATACAGAAAGCTCCTATGGAGAACTGTGTGGTTGTAACGGCCCCCTCCTAACTTTAATAAAAGCCTTTATTTCAATTTTGATCTGGCTCAGAATGAACTCGTCCCCTGGGATCGAAATTCCTCTAGAAGAATGATAGCAAAGAGGGTTTAGCTGCTCCATGGGACCAGATACTGAATACCGCTACAGCAAGGAGCTGTACAAGCTTTGCACAAGCTACAAATAACATCACAGAGAACATGTCAACGCTTCTTCAGATGAGAAAGAGCCAATGAACGAGTATACGAACACAAGTGCCGAAATGATATGTAAATAAAACAATACCCAAGCATCTGTCAATGCAGCGTTGCCACAATGCTTATCACGAGGGAAACAAATGTCAGATTTGTTATTGCATTGTTGTGATCAAAGAAACAAAATATTGTATGGCACGTAGTGCAAAAACATTACAGATGTTGAATGTCATGTAATTGAGACCATTGTGTCTGGAGTGGGATAATAAAAAAAGTGGCCAATTCAAGAACTTTCTTTTCTTTTTCTCTTTGAGAGGAGCTGTATATGTTGGGACGGTCCCTATCTTTGCCCTCCACCTCCTTGCCCTCTTGAACATTTATTATTTTCATGGCAAGAAAAAACCCCGCCATCCGGATTTATTGAAATGAGGGCTCACACTGAGCAGAACCAGCAAATCTGATGCATACCATGAGCCTGGTGCTTTCCTGTTCCTGAAAATACTGTCACTTCCCAGCACGTAATGCATAAAGCGAGAACCAGCCCTCCTTGTCCCTAGCAGCCATGGGCTGTTTATTTATTCTAATTTATTCTAATTTAATATTAGTTTAGTCTCAATAAACTCTTCAAAACTCATTCCATCAGATCACATTAGGAAAGACAAAGCTTGCCAAATTGAAATATGGTACATGATTGGCTACAGACACGCAAAGCAGGGGGGCAGCTTTCGCGATTCGGCCAAACAAAAGTAGAAATCAAAACAGCACTGATCTTTTTTTCCAGAATTTATTTTTATGGCTAGCGATAATTATTATTATTTTTTTTTCGAGGGTTTGGAGATCCGTTTGTTTCTTTAAGCACCCATGCACTGGCTCAATGCTAATAAATGTGTGTAAATGTTGGCAGCGCTCTTACCATTTAGCAGCTCAATAAGAGCAGGAATGATACCGGACTTTGCCAGCATGACGGCACAGGAGTCGTCCATTGACACCGTACCGATCATGATCACCACCTCCAGGATCAGGTCATCCTCAGCTGAACCTGAAACACAGAGGTCAAAGATCAAATGGGGTTTAGTATGATGATAAAATTTGTATATCTTACTACTCCTACAAGGAACGCACATGGATGATTTACTACCTTTGCCAAAATGTGTAATATATGCACATATAGTAATACTGACCTACTATACAGAAGCTCCTATGAGACTTATCATGATCGGACTGTCAAAAGTTAGGCCATTTGTACACAAAATTGGATTGGACAAATAAGTATCCAGACATGAGAGAGAATGTGATGTAGCACAATATACCATACTGCAAATTAAAATGTTAGGGTTGCATACTGGTTACTGTTTCATATAGCAATTTAACAAAATAGGATTAAAACCTTATGGAAAGAGATGTCTTGCAGAGTATCTTGCAATACTCCATCTATATCTATTTTAAACAGCATTTTAAAAGATTCTACATACAGTTATACAAAGCTCATATTATTTGAGAGACGGCACAGACTATTTATACTCCTAAAAAATCATTAGTCACACCACAGGACCTTTTAAAGAACAGACGAAGGCAAAACGCTAGTTACGTTTGTAACTGTGGTTCTGTGAATTCCGGCGACCGCCGGAGGCAGTGCAAAGCACTAGTGGATAATCGCTGCGCCAGCTAGATAGATCGAGAAGAATATAACAACAAAGTCACATCATGACGCAGACCGAGACGCGAGGATATAAACCACAGCGACTCGGTGCCCAGCCTCAGAATGCTTTCTCGCGCATTCAGAGTGACGAGGGACTCTGGCGGTCATCCGGAATTCACAGAACCACAGTTACATACGTAACTAGCGTTCTGTTTCATTCCTACTGACCGCCAGAGGCAGTGCAAAGCACTAGTGGATGACGCATATCAACACGGTCATGAAGAATGCCACCCACCTGCAAACATCAGGGTTGCTCCAGAAGGACTGCAGAGCTCACATCATGGGAAGCAGCCACGTTAACCTTGTAGAAGCTGCCATGATTCGCCTTGTAACAGACTCAGAAGTAGAGGAAACCATAGCCTGGATGGCCATCGAGGTGCCACTAAAAGCACCCTGTGCTTGTATAGGAATATACGATGTAATGTTTCCCACAGAAGTGGAAATGGAGGGAACGCATACAACAGGCAACTCGGCCATTTGTGGGCTAATGCACCCTGTCCCAATGGGCTGGACGTCTCGGTTCTCGCGAACCACCAGTGGCAATGAGTGGTCATTTCCGATGCAAACAGGTCGACCTCTGCCTTGCCAAACCGTTGCCAAATCAACGGTACCACATCCGGGTGAAGTCTCCATTCCCCCAGGAGCAGCAGATCCCTGGACAGAGCATCCGCCACTTGATTGTCCAATCCCGGAAGATGAACTGCCCTTAATGAGGCCAGCCGGCCCTGAGACCATGTGAGGATCTTGCGAGTTAGCAGTAAAGACACAAGAGACCTGGTGCCGCCCTGATGATTCAAATGAAAGACCGTCGACGTGTTGTCGGACCGGACAAGCACATGACGACCCATCAGGTTTGGTAAGAAGTATTGTAGAGCAAAGCACACTGCCTTCAACTCCAAGACGTTGATATGTTCTAAGGCCTCCCTGGGTGACCAGTGACCACCAATTCCCCTCTGGTTCCACGTTGCCCCCCATCCTATTAGTGAAGCATCGGTCGTGATTCAATTCAATTCAATTCAATTCAAATTTATTTGTATAGCGCTTTTCACAATACACATTGTTTCAAAGTAGCTTTACAGAAAGTGCATTTCAGAAAGTGTGATCACTTCCCGACGGGAGGACACCACCCCTAGAGGCACACCAGCTTTCAGTAATGTTACCTTTTTCCAGGGTTTCAATGCACGGACACAGGCAGGCGAAACGACAATCATGCAATGGCGATGTCTCGCTGAATCTAGCCCTAAGCTGTTGCTCCACCTCTGAAGAGGCCTGAGGTGAAGCAAGCCAAAGGGGATCACGGATGAGGCGGCGGCTAACATCCCCATTAGTTGCAGAAGGACGCCATAAGGAAGTTTTGTCCCTTGACCGAAACGAGTCAATATTGTCTGTTTGTGCGTGAGACAATGTGGCAGACATTGTGATTGAATTGAGTGTTATTCCTATTAACGTTATGGTCTGTTCTGGGACCAGATGACTCTTTGTGTCATTCACAGTAAGGCCAAACCTCTGAATATGCTCCAGCACAATCCTGGTGTTGTGTAACGCATTTTGTCTTGTTGGAGCACAGAGCAGACAATCGTCTAAATAGGGCAGAATCCTCATGGCCTTGGACCAAAGAGGAGACAGGGCTGCACTCATTCATCTTGTGAAAACACGAGGAGCCAGAGATAGACTGAATGTTAAAACTCTGTACTGATAGGCTTGATTCTGAAAGCTGAATCTTAGGAACTTCCTGTGGTGGGGAGCAACGGGAACATGGAAGTAAGCGTCTTTCAAGTCTCCTTTCGTCACAGATCGAAGAACGTCGACTGTGCGTAACATTCGGAAAGGAAGAGACTTCAAGAACACTTTAGGCGTCTCAGGTCCAGAACTGGACAAAAACCGCCATCTTTCTTTGCAACAAGGAAGTACGTGGAGTAAAATCCGTCCCTCTGACTGAGGGGAAGAACTTTTTCTATGGCTCCTTTCAGTAACAGTGAATGAATTTCTAAGGAAAGGGCCATTGAACTGGTTACATCTTTTATTCCTGAAAACTTGGGAGGCCGGCGTCGGAATTGCAGAGTGTATCCCCTGCTCAAAGTCGACAGAACCCAGGGGTCGGACATTGAATTTTCCCAGTAATGGAGATGCTGCACAGTAAAACGACTGACCGCCGTCCCCATAGCTTCAAAGTTTTTGGCCTCTGCCTTTAGGACCCTTGGGGGTCGCTGACGTGGTCTCCCCTGCTGATGACGGTGAAAAGGGTGGCGTCCCTGGGCCTCCTCAGCCCCTCTATGTTGCTGTGGAGCCTGAAGCTGAGAAATGTTCTGCTGTCGCACTCGATGCTCTGAGCCCGGATAACGTGGGTGAGCCGGAGTCAGAGGCATTCTAAAAGGTGGTGCTCGTGGAACCGGAGTCAGTTGTCGTGTGCCTTCTGACAACTTCATTCTCTTCTCCAATTCCTCAGAAACATTGGGGCCAAAAAGATGTCCTGGTACAATTGGCAGTTCTCTCAGTGTCTTCTTACAATATTCAGGTAACCTTGCCTGAGCAAGCCATACCTGACGCCGGGCTGTTAGAAGGGTCGCTGAAAGTGTCCCAAGTTCCCAAGTCACACGACCCATAGTCAACAGAGCCGTCTGTAAGAACTGAGATGTAGAAGCGTCAACGCTCGCTGACTCTAATGTGTTATAGCAGGCAAGAAGCAGTTGGCAGATAGTATTCTCAGCTCGAGTTATATAGGCTACCGACTCGTATGCCTTCTTCAATAAAGTGTCAGTACATCCACATTGTGCACTCGGGCAGCGTACATTGCCCCTTAGAGCCTCATCTGGTGATACCACCAAAGCTACAACCGTCTGTTCAATTTCAGGTGCCTGTCCTACCCCAATGGAGTCAGCCTCAGCCATTGCGGCAAGAGTGCGGGCTGTCTTTGACCTCCTCCTAGGCACATTGGGACTGGTAAGGGCACTAGAGAATTCTGTCACAAAATCCTTACACGGTGGCATTGTGAACACATTACTATCAGCAGCTTGTCTGAAGAACCCATTGGTTTGAATGGGTTGGACAGGTGATTTGTCAAGACCCAAACGAGCCACCGCCATCTGCAGAACAGTCTGGAGCAGATGGGCCTGTGCCCGATGAATGTACAGACCCACCGCTCGAACCACCTGTAGCATATAGGTTAGAAAAAACATTGTTTGGGAGGGTGTGTTGTATGGCAGGTTCCACCGATTCTCCATCAAGAAAATGTGAATTAGACACGGCCATGGAGAGCGCGTCAAAATCTATAGCATGTGGGGGTTGGAAATCACTCTCATCCACTGGTGTGTTCTTAGTATGTGGGGCCGACACTGGGGGTTGTAAAGACTGAAGAAGACGTTTCATCTCCATCATTTCTGAAGAGAGAGAAGCTACAGTCTTCGATAACAAGTGTTCTGAAGTGTCTTTCTGTAGTACAGATTTCTTCTTGCTCGGCGGAGCGCCAGCAGCTGCTGACGCTTTTTTTGAGCGCGTCGCGGCTGTTGTGTGAGGCTAACAGGCGAGTTAATGTCTAACTCAGCAAGGCGAAGCTGTCTCTCTGACATCGGTAGCATACTACAATGCAAACATGGATCAGTCAGGGCCTCCTTCAGATGTTGAGCGCCTAAACATGATGGGCATCGATCGTGTCCGTCGTCGAGAAGAAGCGTATTCGGACACAACTTGCAACTTGAAACGGAGATGAGAGAGCTATGATCCATGACTCCTTCAATAACACGTCCTCGGTTAGCACTGTAGGCACTTAAAACTGTAATAACACCCACTGAGCAGTTCGAAAAAATCTTCGGATAGAACCGAAAATTCTATAACATGAAACGCTCTCACAAGTAACGTAAAAGTCAAGTCTGCCTTCGGATAGAACCGCGAGGCATTCAATGACTAGCACACTGACGAGTATGCAATGAATCTAAGATATGATAACTAGGGGTGTAACGATACACGTATTCGTATTGAACCGTTCGGTACGAGGCTTTCGGTTCGGTTTTCGGTACGCATTTTTGAACCGAACGGTTCGTTGGACCATTTTTCCTGCCGACCAAAATTTCGTTATTTCAAATGAAGGCGCGTCACGCGTGGCAAGCGCGCTCATAATGTGCGTGACCACAACATTGCCCAACATCAAATGGCAAATGTAATGTAAGCGGAACGAAACCACTCGTTATTGTGTGGTTGAAGGACCGTTTATCAGTTTGGACAAATACAGCGCGAGCCGATCTTAATCATCAGCACTGTTACTACACAGCCAAATCCAGTAAAGAAAGCATTTGAATTCGCCACTGAAGTAATAACATCGCTGCAAGATCTAGTGAGAAACATTCGCATTTCTCCGTTATTAACGGATCAAACAGCGCTGACGTGGAAACCAGGAAGAAACATTGTGCCATGAATGAACTATCCAGTGTCCACAGATCAGCAACATTCACCATGGGTTTACTGTAGTAACACTACTAACTGTAACCATGGAAGTTTGGCAGGAATAGTAGGCTATAATGCTATCAAGTAACATTACGTCGGTTTTATTTTGACATTATGAATACAATTGCTGCCCTCAAATGTTAATCTGAACTAAAATAAACCTTTGTTTATAACTACTACAATATTACATTTAATTTTGTCCAAGGAGCTGTTTTGTTTTATAAGCTCCTAAGAAAAGTCAAGTATAGCTCCATCATTGCTCAAAGTTAAAAAATATCATACTTTATGATGTTAGTTTTAATAAAAATATAATTAAAAAGATTAAATCAAGGAAATTTCTCTGGCATTTCTTTCTTTTTGCTGTATCGGAAACGTACCGAATCGTACCGAACCGAACCGTGACACAAGTGTATCGTATCGAACCGAACCGTGAATTTTGTGAACCGTTACACCCCTAATGATAACATAAATACATATTTATATAAAACTGATATAACGTTATAGGTTTGCGGTGAACGCAACCTAAGCGCGGTCGAAACCAGCTACCGGATAGTACCGTGAAGCACAGAGTATCGCCGACACAACAACAAATAATCGTATGCACTCACGTAGTGAAGAAAAATAATCCAAGATATCCGTCCTGATGATAGTGTAGAGCGCGCTGTCACAGCTTGGGAGGGCGAATCCTCACAACTCAGGTAAGCTGCACGGGACAGCGTGAAAAACAAACGACCTATCAAAAGCGAGAAAGCGAAAGAGGCTGGGCACCGAGTCGCTGTGGTTTATATCCTCACGTCTTGGTCTGCGTCATGACGTGACTTTGTTGTTATATTCTTCTCGATCTATCTAGCTGGCGCAGCGATTATCCACTAGTGCTTTACACTGCCTCTGGTGGTCAGTAGGAATGAAACAGAAGGTGATTTATCTGCACAGAACTATGAAAAACTTGTTACATGATCCTGGTACACCCGCCTGTTATGTGTCAACTACTCATATACAGTGTAGTACACTACACAAACAGGTACATGTTAGCTTTACCGGGTTTGAGGTGGTCTTTGAGGAAAGGCACCAGGTTGTACTCTTTCAGCAGGAGCTCCCAGTCCAGGTCAGGTATGGTGAGGTTTGCCATTGTACCCAAGCACTCAATAACAAACTCTTCTTCGCCCTCCAGCTTGATCTGAGCTGCCAGATCACCCACATAGTCCTGGAGAGTAAATGACATCAAATATCTCTAGGAGTTTCTAGCAATCATTTAACACAGACTAACTTCTTGTAATTTTTAAAAACTAATTTTACTAACATGCCAATGCTAAATGATGCTTTGATGTATTCAGTAAGTTTATAATGTGTAACTTGTGTGACTCTTCATGGAATGACAGAAATATTGTATTTACAATGAAGAGCTGTTTCAAGGGTCCATCGTGTTGTGAGATGTTCCTAATCATTTTCATCAGCAGCGGGTCCTTTAGTTTGAGTGCTCTTTTCATCAGCATCTTCAATCCATTACCTGCAGAGCAAATACTCAAATAATCAGTTTCAGACAGAGATTAATCACAAGTTTGATCAGACTTCATGTATTATTAATTACAGAAAGCAAAAGTCGCTGATGTGTGACAGTATGCTATATGACATGTAAACACAGATGTTTGTGACAGTGTAGTCTAGGGGAAATGAGATACAGGCTCTTACCCTCACAGATAATCTGAGCATTAGTCTTATTAGCAGCCAAGTTGATGCAGAAGGAAATGAGCTCGGTGTCGATTCTCTCTTCACCGTGTTCAAACAGCATTTGCATGAGCTGCTTACACACAACAAGATATCATTCAAAATGTCAAAATACATGTATCATACATGAAAACATTGAATCAGCATGCTATAAAAGTATAGCAGGGCTTGACATAAAAGTTTGGTCAGGACAGCAGAAAAAAATTATCAGGAACTTTGAGGTTGTCCAAACTGTCTTTACACTGCTGCAAAAATGGCACAGAATATATGCATTGACAGACTTTATTTTACAGAAGTGGAAAATGTATTTAAACAAAAATTGCCGGAAACGGTGTCTCAAGTGCTTAAAGGCACACGCTGATTAGCATGATAGCATGCTTAGAATGACTCTGATCCTTTTAGACCAGTTTAGTCCATTCACTTTGCTTAAGGTTCACCTACTGTATAAATTAGTGTGATTCCAAATGTGAAGTAGTAAAGAAATAGAACATAAAAATTTTATTGATTTTATTTAGATTATATTCAGTATAATTCTGATGATGACAATTAACATCGATATTTATATTTTAATAATAAACTACCAAAAATAATAATAATAATATTTTTTTATTAATAGTAATAGTTCAAATTATATTTAAATTATATTTAAATATTTAAAATTATATTTTAATTGTAATTTAAAAATAAATAATAATTAAATAAATTACATACATGTTATAACAACAACAATAAATAAATCCATGTTATTATTATTGTTGTTGTTGTAAAATATTTAAGAATAAGAACTAATTACTACTATAAGAATAATCACAAAGAAACATTCATCTGGACTGACACCTGTCTGACAGAAAAGTAACTGAAAAAAGCTCAATGTGATGCCCCAATAGTACGTGACAATGAGGCACATTATGAGATTTCCAAATGTCCTCGGAGAGTGATGTCACAATAGACCTATTGAAGCACAATTTAAAACTGAGGAGGATTGCATGTGGAGTATCGTGCAACAACCAGAGGGAAAACAAAAGAAAAGAAATAAATGATGAAACAGACGGTTCCTGACAGGGAGAAGTATTAGTGCTGTCAGTGTTGGCGAAGGGATTGTTATTTGTGTTTTTATTCATGAGCCAGAGAGAGTTGAGGCAATATCCCACAGTCTACTTTAATCAGGTCAACACAGCGGCTGATAATGGCCCAATGAGAGGGACACTGCAGGCCTATCTTAAGGAGATAACTGTACAGCGGCCAATGAATTGAGCATGTGTGGGTGAAGAGAAGAATGAGGAGATGAACAGATGAAGAAAGATAAGCAATGGGCACAGCCATGGTGTGGGCCAGTTGGATGTTAAACAGGAAGGCACAAACAGTCCAATGCAGGCTTGTGAAGAGGCACCAGTGAGCAATCAGGCCTCTCCCATACTGAGTATCACATAACTTGGTCCCAGGCCTTCAAATCATGCAGTCTAGACTCACTGGCACCTGCTTGCTCCTATTTACCAGCAATGGGAGGCCCTGCCTCGTACCCCTGAGTCATCCCCCCCACTCCCCCGTCTCTGAGCTCTCCATGGTTTCATAGCTCCATAACCCCTGCAAGCATTTCCTCACACACACACACACACACCTCACAGCTTTGAGTAATTATATCTAGACCCCTTTGTGGCAGAGGAATGAGTCCAATGCCGGGCCTCTCCTCGCCAGTTCAGAACCCAGAGCAGCGAGGCCGTTTGATCTAAATCCTCCCTTCCAGAAGAGGGTCCAGGCTAACTGCCAGAGCAGACCTGAGGGACACCAGATCTAGAGGCAGAACCCGACAGACTGACTTTAGCTATTGATGAAGAGTCACGGGAGTCTTCAAAATGAGGAAGAGAGAAGGAAAGAACAAAAAAACACAAAAGAATGAATGAAAGAACAAAAGAATAAACAACTGAATAAACTGAAAGGATGAACCACTGAAAGAAAGAAATAAAAACGAAAGAAGGAACAAGCAAACAAAAGAAAGGAATGAAGATAGAATTAAAACAAAATAAAACAAAAAAATGAAACACTGAAAGAAATAAAATAACAAAAGACCGAATGAAAGAAAGAACAAACAAACGAAAGAAATAATTAACAAACAAAAAATTATAGCAACAAAGAATGAAAGTATGTACTTAACAAAATTGAAAGACAGGACAAACAAAAGACCAAACAAAAGAATGAATGAAAGAACAAAAAAACTGAAAGAAAGAATGAACCACTGAAAGAATAAATCAATAAATAAATAAATAAGAAAGAACAAACAAACAAAAAAGAAAGGAAGAAAAAAAAAACTAGGGATGCACCGATACTACTTTTTCCAGAACAAGTTCAATCAATAAAGATACTTTTATTAACTCGATTTAATAGGCTATCCACGCTCTGTCTGAGAGGCAGCTTTCTGTATGCGCGCTTCGGATGTTTGCGCACAGAAAATTTCTTGAAAATGTCATGTGATTGCTGTACCACCTTCCTGTAATAATGTAGGGAGCCACTCGTTACACATAAATCATGTAGCAGTTCATGTTTTTACTTTTAATTTGTAAGAGTAGGAGTACACGAGCGCAAAAATAAATGAAATGAAAAATGAAAAAAAGAAAAAGAAAGAAAGAAAGAAAGAAAGAAAGAAAGAAAGAAAGAAAGAAAGAAAGAAAGAAAGAAAGAAAGAAAGAAAGAAAGAAAGAAAAACACTACATAACTCCCTGAGGAATCCCGCAGCTATTCTGACTGACATCATGCCACAACCGTCTCCAAGCGGATTGGCAGAGCGATTAGGTTGAGGAATTTAACTTTTTTTTTAACAAGCATCTGGTAGGCATTTTCACCCAATTAGAGAAGACAAGCATTTTAAAGATGACAACGCTCAGGCAGAAGTTATTTCAGAGAAATTGTACCCAGGCAATTGCTGGTGACCCCACAGAGGCCCCCTCCTATTAAATTAGCTCTGTTATCTCATTAACGCCATGTGAGAGAAAGACAGCACTACAATTAGCCCACTTTACAACACTGTGCGGTGCACACATGATACATACATGACACACACAACAGCAGCAAATAACATACAGTATTTGGAATAACAAAGTACAATTTAACTTTATGCAGTACAGTCAGGGCCGTCGCTAGTGGGGTGAAAGGTGGTGACAATTATAGGGGCCCCCGCTGCCCAGGGGGCCCCACAAAATCCAGCAGTTACACTATTTAGGCCCCTGTAGTATGAATAATTCTAATATTTATATTAGTTGTATGCCTGAGATTTAAATGAAAACCACAAAAACGTGCAATTTGGGTAAATATTTTTCCAAATATCTGCTTCTCTTACCTCCATAAAAATGGTTTAGTCCGACCTAAAGTATGTATTAATTATTCAGTCAGAGTCAGTGACAAACATCAGATGGACCCAATAAAATTGTAAGTCCCGCCCCAGCTCGTGAACAGAACCAATCAGAGTTGAGGCGGCAGCCTGAAGTTAACGATGAAATTGGTGGAAGAGCAGGAGACTAACTGACTGAAAAATGTCGGGGAAAAGAAAACAAATCAGGGAACCAGAAATGCCAGGAAAAGACGGAGAGGGAGGCAAGGAGAGTGGTTGTATCCCAGTCGATCAAGACGTTCTTAAAGACCGGTTATATATTGTTATTTCGCTGGGAATTAGAAAACTTCCGTCTACAGTCTGCCGTGTACAGTCATTTTTTATTATCGGTGCGCGCCGCAGTCGACCGAATGATTACGTGCAGTGGTCTAAATTCCTGTCTTTTTACAGTATTGTAACTAGAGTTTTAAAAAAATTACACGAGTCACGACGCATTGCATTATGCATCTGACCTGCCGGCTGATGATATTTAAAACATCGAGAAAACACGAATAAAACACACTGCACTTGGATGAATAAATGTATTCGCTTTATTTAATAATATTACCAGTTCCATATTATCTTTATTAAAAAATAAGACAATGAATGCTTTTATTTTTTGAATTAGACTGCATTCTTGTCAATTTTTTAAATGTTTACTTTTTGATTTATGAATTATAACAGACTGATGGGGGAAAAAACTTATTACTTTTTAAAAATTGGTTTTATTATTATTTAACAATTTCTTGCTTTTTTATTAGTTGTAATTTTTATATAAACATTTAACTTTTAAAATAAAGGTTTTACAACAACATCACCATCTTCTGTTATGTGGGCCTCCATGTTCATCGTGTGGTGGTGGCCCACATCAATATTTTTTCAGGGGGCCCCGAATCCTCTAGCTACGGCCCTGAGTACAGTATGCACATAGTGTGCAGTATACACTTTTTCTGTATGCATAGAATACCAGGATGACTACTAGGTGCATACCGTCTATATTACTTACAAATGTCTACAAAGAGGAATCATTACTCACCACATAACAGATTTTGTCCTGCCACATGTGACATACTGTACATACAATTACAGCTTTTAGAATCCTGAATTAGCAGCCAAAATCCCTGCAAGCAGTAATAACATAATGGTGGATTCAGCTTTAGAAAGGTACCCTCAAACCATCTTCCTTTCTGATGCGAGCGAGACTGAAATCAAAACTATTGTGTATAAATGTAAAAATAAATCATCTATGGACTATTTGGACATTAATATGAGATTAATAAAAACCCACATATGTAATGCTTCATTCCAAACTGGAACTTTTCCAGACAAAAAGAAAATAGCCAAAGTGTTACCGATATCAAAAAATATTGCAATTATAAATAAAGCTAAGTACGTTTTAAATTACAAGGCACTGTATATATTGTATTCCAGTCTTATTTTGTCATACTTAACTTATGGAATTGAGATCTGGGGTAATAATTAAGTTCCCTACATCCCCTTGTAATACTCCAAAAACGAGCAATCAGAGTTATTCATAAGGTAGGATACCTCGAACATACAAATATATTGTTTTTACGAAGTAACATGCTCAAATTTATGGACTTAATTGATTTTTATACTGCATAATTAGTGTGTAAAGCAAATCGGGTCCTACTACCAGTAAATATTCAAAAATTATTCATAAAAATAGATAGCTGTTACAATTTGAGAGGTTATGGCCAACTTAAAGTACCGGCTTTCAGAACTACGAGGAAAAGCATGTGTGTGTCTGTGTGTGTGTGTGTGTGGTGTCAGGCTCTGGAATAACCTGAGAGCCCAACTCAAGCAGTGCCCATTCATTTATCAATTCAAATCAAAGTATAAACAAGTCATACTGTCTAAGTACAGGACGGAAGAATATCCTTAAACGTGGAAAGGGAATTAGCTGCAGAGCAATCTATTTATGTTGTATTTTTGTGACTGGCAAACTAAAAAGATAATATAAGATAATAAAGATATTATAATATATAATATAATTAAACTATTTATAATTATAAACAACTGTGGCCATTAAATGCATTGAATTCATAACAATAAGGAACAAAAGAGCAAATTAAAAGATTGGTGACTAGTTGTTACTGGCAATGATGGGTTTTTGTACTAATTGATGATTCTTCTTTCCTTGTCTTGGAATCATCAGAATGGTTGTGAGTTAATATTGTTGATTGTATAGTCACTGGAAAAGGTCAACATAAATATGTGTCAATTGTCTTCTTGATTGTAGTAAATGTAACTACTGTTCAAATGTATAAAAGGCGGTAGGCGTCAATAAGCTTAAGCTTCTGCCTACTCCTTTTGAGCATCATATCCACGTTTTTATTTATTTACTTACTCATTGCGCATGTATCCTTCTTTAGTTTTGCCCACTGGGCTGAACCTTGTTACTATATAGAATTTTGGTGAACCCAGATGCTCAAATAAATAAAGAAATGAAATGAAATGAGAATAATTCGCTTGATAATGAAAATGATAAACAATGAATTTTGTAATCCGTTAGTCGGGTCTTTGTAGCCTGGGAAAACCCAGACAACTTCCGGCAAATTTAGATTTGCTCTGAAAGTTAGTCTGGCAAAGAGCTCATTCAAGCTCATTTCCAATCCGCCGAAATCGAGGCACCAATCAGAAACGTTGGGGCGGGCTTTACACGATGACGACAGCGCTGGGATTTTGAAGCAGATTTTGTAGCCTACATTACAAAGATGGATGCCGCCGTCGAACATCACTCGTTCGAATCAGCTATCGCGTCTGTTTTAAGCGATTTGAACGTGGAGATTCTCCGCCGCTCTGCATACGTCATCTCCTTCATCGCTCTGATTGGTTTTAGGTCTATCCGCGACGTCCGTTGGTGACGCCCCTCTGGAAATGATTTGTCTATGACGCTTTGCCAGACCATAACTCAGTTACAACTGAGAATGGTCTGGTTTTAACCAGGCTAGGGTCTTTGCACTGTGCATGGAGAACTTCCATCAGTAATGGCACTTAAGAAATGCAAAAAACATGAGCATTTCATTTTTGTCCCTTACAATTAAATGCCTCCATCAAACTAGTTTTTAACTCTAAAAACTTCATAGAGCCTGTCAATCAAACAAATGCCAATCATATGGATCAAAACCGTAAAAGCAGGTAAATTAGGTTTTAAAGTCAACTACTACTGAATATTTAACACAAGTTACAATTATTATAATACATTAAAATGTATTACTTTTTCATTACTGAAAAAATTTGTCTGATTACATGTAACGTGCTACTATGATAAGGGAAGGAAATGATGTCTATGTCCTGCTAGAACCTGTTCATTTCTCTTAATCTTTCTTAGGTTTTGCTTAATATTATTATTTAAAATAATTTATTTGGTCATTTAAACTGTATTGCTTTTTTTTATTTCTTTTTATCAAAACCTTAACATTGGGCAAGTTGGAGAATATCCAATTAAGGTTACACTTTATTTAAAAGTGTCCTTTTTACAATTATACAGTTGAAAGAATAATACAGTATAATAGTTATACAATTATTGTAACTATACATTTAAAATGTCTAAATGTATAATTAAGTACTAAGTAATATTAATTAACTACATGTTCTTACAATAAGGTTATTTATGGTTAAGACTAGGGTGTGTTTTAGGGTTAGTTGCATGTAATTATGCATAATATACTGTTATTACTATAGTAACAACATGTAACGTGTAACAAGGACATAGTCAAATAAAGTGTTACCCTAATTAATTTAGGAAATAATCAACAGAATAATGTTGATTATTAAAAGCCCTAATCTCAATAATCAAAAGTGAATAAAAGTGAAGAAGACTCAGACCTGAGGGATGCAGTCAGTATACGCGAACATGGATTTAGATTTGTCATCAACGCTGATGTGGTACAGGATGCGCATCGCTACGTGCTTGTGCGTGTCATCACCTACAGAAAAAAAAAATGAGAGAAAAAAAACCCTTCAGAGAGATTCACAACATGTGTAAACTTTTAAAGCGTTATCTAAATTGATCAGTCGTGGTCAGTTACACAATGTATTTATACTGGCTCGTGCTGAGAGCGAGTTATTTATCATAGAGTTTGGAGATAAGAGCATGTGGTGTATGCGATCACGATCCAAACTCATTCCATGGGGGAGAGAGAGGGAGCACAGATACACACGCAACCCAAACACTCACACTTCTCCCTACAAACACTCTCATTAATAACACTTTACGCCCTCCTACTCTTCCTCCCTAATGCTGATACTCCCCTGTGAGATAGGAAACACTCGGATAGATCAATGGTATAATCAGTCATTATAAGTCCAACCATGGCAGGTGGGACCCGAGACACCCTAGAACACATTATCACATCGGCGATTAGAAGCAGATGTGACCGCTCGGGAGAAAAAAAGTGAGGGAAAGCTGAGTAGGTAAAGAAAAGGAGAGAAGAGGTTTGCTTAGTTTGTTTAATTGGGGACACAGGAGGAGGCATATATTTTAGTGGCATTAATAAGCGAGGGCCGTCTTGGGCGGGCCCTCTGTGGCTGGAACATGTGCTTCTCGTTAGTGTCTGCAGACACAAATGACCCACGTCGCTGCCTCACCTCAGCGAGAGTAGGAGGACACGGACGGGCTTTACGACACCAGCCAGGTAGCCTCGTAAACTGTTGGAGTGTTAATGGTTGGCACAGTGAAAAAATGTGCAGCAATAATTGTTTGGTTATTATAATAATTAGTGTTCTGCGCATCTTTAACCTTTACTCTTTTTTGCAAAGCCTGCAGATAGCCTCTGTTGGATCCGCTGGTTCACCCATTTGCATTTGGTTTAAATCCATAACACTGCCAAATTAACGATGAGCATCTTTTCTTGGATATTAAGCCGTCGTCCTCATTTTTATGCTGGGAAAATGTTTACATCGGACATGAGCAATGGCGCGCGCAGGCGGAGTAGACGATATTATCGGATATCACGATATTTTTAAAGGCGATTATCGGCAAAAATAAATGACATATCGCCCAGCCCTAAAGCAATTAAGTCCTTAGATGTAATCACGAAAATGATTTCCAAATGCGGAGGTGTCATCCGAGCTGGTTAGCAAAAGAGCAGCACGTGATTGGCCTCGAATTACCCAAAATATTGTGGTTGACGCCTGACAAAGAGTACAGAAAGCGCTGTTGGATTGTTGTGAATGACTAAAAATGAAATTATTCTCCTATGACATGTGTGGCTGAACTCAAAATCACTGGGTAAATGTGTTTGGCTTAGCTTGATGATTCAGGATATCTGATAGAAATGGCCATATAATTCCATCATCTGCACTTGAACCAGCTGCTGCCAAAGCAGGTTTTTGCTTTCAATGTAACTGTATATTCTTTAGCTTGTATAGAAAATCATTCAGATGTAGATCATACAGCTCAAAGATTTTGAATCTTTGAATGCAACCTTAAATAGTCTCTTTCTAGTTTGATGATAAGAGTGTATAATGTCTAAAGATGACTTTAATTTGAAACCTTACAAATATAATTTGTCCATTAACCTCACTCATACAATTTTTATCCAATTTCTTGCTGGGCCAAAAAGGTTTATTTTAAATGGAAAAGAGGAAAATTATATTATCCTGTTCATTCTTAATATTATACTGCATTAAAAACGTAACATTCTGGGCTTGGATGAGATTGTCAGGATTTTTTTAAACCGGTCCAGGGATTGTGCAGGAAAAAGTGAGCAAAACAATAAGGAAAAAAAATAAAAAGGTTTCACAAAATGTATTTTTAGGGCAGTCAAAGTTAACTTATTAGCGTTCAAAGGTTTTGGGTCGGTAAGATGTTTTTTTTGGGGTTTTTTTTAAAGAAAGGAATACTTTTATTAAGCATGGATGTATTAAACTGATCAAAAGTGACAGCAAGACATTAATAATGTTAAAAAGATTTCAATTTTAAATACATTGTATTTTTCTGAACTTACTATTAACCACAAAATGTATCGCGGTTTCCACAAAAATATTAAGCAGCACTGCACAACTGTTTTCAACATTGAGAAATGTTTCTTGAGCAGCAAATCAGCATATTAGAATGATTTCTGAAGGATCATGTGACACTGAAGACTGAAGTAAAGTTCAGCTTTACCATCACAGGAATAAATTACATTTGAAAATTTATTCAAATAGAAATGCAGTTTTTTCTGGATTTTTCAGCAGGGAAAGCCATTAAATTTCAGTTTCTCCTGCTGTACTACCTCAAATTTTCTAGATGATAGAAACTCAGACACTGAAGCCTGGAGTAATGATGCTGAAAATTCAGCAATCAAATGAATAAATTATAGTTTAAAATATATTAATAAATTAAAATAGAAAACAGCTGTTTTAATTGTAATAATATTTTATAATATTACTGTTTTTACTGTATGTTTGATTACCGTAAAACTTCAAATAATAGCCGAGTCCCAAATAGACGCCTGTCTCTTTTACACGCCTGGTGTGGCTGCAGGTTTGGGTAAATAAAGGCCGGTCTCAAATAGAGGCCGGGTCTGTTTTTTAGTTTCGGGTTGTATTTAATCCTCTAAAACCGTCAGATCGTCCGCTTTTTGGCGGCCGCCAAAGCAATTTTTTGTCCCTCCAAAGCTTTTTTTGATCGATGAGTGATGTAGAATAGAATAACTGCTGCGCTTGACAGGGCGCGGACGAGCAGAGAGAGAGAGAGCGCTCCGGCCGCGCGCGCGCACTCTCACGTCTTCAAACAACACGAGCGCTGTCTTGGTCTCTCTCCCTCGCGCATATTAATCAAAATCAATTGACGACGCGATAGTAAAAGGTTGGAAGACCGCAGTTTAACGTGGAGCATTTGGAGATTTTTAGAGATTAGAGACATACACTCAATGAACAACATCTCAACACTAAATTATAAAGGCCTGTCTCATATAGACGCCTGTCTCAAATACAAGCCGGAGCAATTCGACGGTTTGGGAAAATAAAAGCCCGGGCTACTATTTGAAGTTTTACGGTAAATAAATGCAGCTTTCATGAGAGACTTCTTTCAAAAACATGAAAAAAATCTTACCGACCACAAATTATTTAACAGTAGGGTATATATATAATTGTTATTATTTCTACAAAGTTTCTCAGTGAGGGTTTTAGGCAATATCTCTTGTAAAACTACTGTGGAACTATATCTGATGCAAAGTCCTTGGCATTAAAATGTGTGAAAATGTAAAAAAAAAAAAAAAAAAACTTGCTGTGCAATTTAATTACAGTGGAACGTTGGTCCAATCTCATTTGTATGAAAGGTAAGAGTTACCCAGCAGAGTAGTGAGTTTGGGCAGTAAACCCACATGCACCATCTTGGTGCGCAGGCCCGTGTCAAAGGAGAGGTTGTGGAGGAGTCGCAGAGTGACGTTCATCATGTCTTCGTGTTCACATGGAACCAGACGAGCCAGCTTCTCCACCGTGTCCATCTCTGCCTATTACAAACGCACAAGTGAAGTACACGTAATACATTTTAAATTAGATGTCGAAAGAAACAACTAGGCCTACATGAAATTATTTAAACAATCTTTTCATTTTGAAAATCGCTTAGTCTGGAGAAACAAAGAGAATCATCTTCTTTTCTCAGTTGTTCCTACAACAGCCAGAAATTTTTGTCCAACATGTGTTTTTATGTACGTATATGATGAAAGATTTTCAAAGCCAATACTAGTCCATTTCTTTTATCTACAACAAGGATTTGATTAAGGGATACAGGAATAAAAAACAACTTCTGTCTTGATAAATGCACATTCATAGCCAGAGTAGATTGATTCCAGGTGGACTGACAGTGGAGCAGAGTAGGACAAGCAGGACAAAATATATACTGTATATCATGGACACAATTTACTAATTCATTCCCTTGTTTTAAGTCAATCGTGCACACTATATCATTTGTTTCATTGATTTAGTAATTCATGGCCATATTGTTCTAATTCATTCCCTCGTTTTGATTGAACTAAATCAAGGGAACAAATTATTACAACGTGGCCCAGATTTAGTAAAACGAGGGAACAAATAATTATATCATGTGCACGATTAAGTAAAAAAAAGAGAATTTTTTTTATTGTTATTATTTTAATTATTATATTATGCGCACGATTTAGTAAAACGAGTGAACAAATTATTATTTTGTGTGCATGATTTACTTAAAACGAGAGAACGAATTATTATATTGTGTGCACGATTTACTTAAAACGAGAGAACGAATTATTATATTGTGTGCATGATTTACTTAAAACGAAGGGAACGAATTAGTCAATGTATATAAATGTTTATAAATTAGAGTTGGGAATCGAAAATCTAATCGAATACTTGATGTCAGAAATCGGATACTGTTATAAAATAAAAATTTCAATTAATCTTATCGATTCCTTTGTGAGCAATTTAATTAGGGGTGGGCGATATGGCAAAAATATCATATCACGATTGTTTTCATGAAAATCACGATTCACGATTTTATCACGATTCTTTTTCATGTTGGTTTTATTATTTTGCAATTGACTGAGCATTACAGCCAAACTAATGTCCCTATTTTAAAAACAAAGCCTTACAAGGTAACAAAATATAAAATAAAAAAAGAATGGCAGACATTTAGGCCAAAATGGCCAAATAAGATAATTTTTTTCTGTTGAAAATAAAAGTTATTTTGAAGAATGTGGCTTACCAAACAGTTGTTGGTCCCTAGTGACACCGGCACGGACACCGGCACGGATACGGACACCGGCACAGATATGAACACCGACACGGATACGAACACCGGCACGGATACGGACACCGGCACGGATACGGACACCGGCACGGATACGGACACCGGCATCGGCATGGATACGGACACCGGCACAGAGACGGACACCGGCACGGATATGAACACCGACACGGATACGGACACCGGCACGGATACGGACACCGGCATCGGCATGGATACGGACACGGGCACAGAGACGGACACCGGCACGGATATGAACACCGACACGGATACGGACACCGGCACGGACAACGGCAAGAACACGGCATCGGATGGCACAGACACCGGCACAGACACAGGCACCGGCATAGATACCGGCACCGATATGGACACCGGCACGGATGGCACGTACACAGGCACCGGCACGAATACAGACACCGGCACGTAAACGGACACCGGCACAGATACGGACACCGGCATAGATACAGCCACAGACAACGAACACGGATACAGACACCGGCACGGAAACGGACACCGGCACAGATACGGACACCGGCATAGATACGGACACAGACAACGAACACGGATACAGACACCGGCATGGATACGGACACAGGCCCGGATACGGACACCCGCACGGACACGTCACGGATACAGACAACGAACACGGCACAGATGGCCGGATACAGGCACCGGCATGGATACGGACACCGGCATGGATACGGACACCGGCATGGATACGGACACCGGCATGGATACGGACACCGGCATGTACACGGAAGAATGGCAGACATTTAGGCGAAAGTGGCCAAATAAGATTCTTTCTTCTGTTGAAAATAAAAGTTATTTTGAAGAATGTGGCATACCAAACAGTTGTTGGTCCCTAGTGGGCACCGGCACAGACTCCAGCAAGGATGGGTAAGGACACCAGTATGGATACCGACAAACATACGGACACCGGCACGGATACGGACACCGGCATCGGCACGGACATCAGCACAGACACAAGCACCGGCACGGATACGGACACTGGCACGGACAAGTCACGGATACTGGCATGGACACCGGCACGGTTACGGACACCGGCACGGATACTGACAACGGACACCAGCACGGATACCAGCACAGACACCGGCACGGTTACAAACACCGGCACAGATACGGACACAGGCATCGGCAAGGACACCAGTGGACACCGGCACGAACATACCGGCACCGGATACACTGGCTAAGTACATTGTGAGATCAGAATTACAAAAGGTAATATATGAGGGGTTTTACCATGTCGTTCTTGTTCTCCAAGAAGATGCTGAGCTTTTTGAGGAAGGAGACCACCAGCACCAGCAGCTCCTCGTTCTCCCTCTCTAGAGACTTGACCAGCAGGTGCACAATATTCTTGTTCCTCATCTTGAGCTCTGTGCGGGTGTCCTCAGACAGGTTCAACAGCAGGTAGAACGCAACTAGAGCCATAGGGAGGAAGAGGAACATATAAACAAAGCTTAATGAATGATTCCTACTAAACTTGTAAAAAAATTAAATAAAATAAAAATTCACTTCCTGTACCTCGCAGCAGTTGCTCCTGTTTGACCAGGAGGCTTTGGTATTTCTTTAGGGTTTTCTCGTGCTCCTTCCGCAAGCTCTGGTTGTCAGGGTCCTCGTCACGTGGATATGTTAAGGAATAATCTAGTTTATTTAACATGTTAATTTAGAGATTCATTTTTGACTTTTTGATTAAAAAGCGATTGACAAAAAGGATATAAGCCTTGCTCTTCTTCTCTAACTCATCCTGCCACAGGTCATATTTCTTCAGCTCGTGTTCGATGATGTTCATGCACAGCGCGCCGATCTTATAGTGCGTGATGAGCCCGTGGAACTGAGAGAAACTGCAGGAAGAACACGAGTCGTGAGGGTCTGTCCTCCTTCGAACTCTACTGGCACATTCAGCCAGACACTGATGCATGCGATACAATCTGAGGACTAGACAATGGCTGGTATGCAGAGACACCGAGACGGACGTGCCAGATGAATTTCTTACTCTAGCCCTGATTAGTACATACACAGAACTGAAAGATCGGGTCAAACAACTCATCGTACATTTCAAATACATCCTTCAAACGTCAAAGTCATTCTAGCTTGTGGAAAGAAATTTCCACATTAGCCATCTGAAAATGAGAGCCAAGGAAAACCTTCAAATGAGAGTTCTTTCATAGCTCAAATAAATGCTGACAGCTATCTCAGTGAAAGCAGTAACCTGATCTGCAGCCACTAAAGATGTTTTGAGAACATATCATGGTTTTCTTACGGCTTTCAACCTTATACAAGAGCTATATCAGAATGATAAATGGTATGCAATCTGCTTCTTAAAATAAAAAATTAAAAGTGAAGGTAGCATATATTATATCCACCAAAATACCTCTCAAAACATAGTAAGAACTAGACAGCAAGATAAAAAATAACAGTGAGATGGGACAAAATGGACAAATATATCCATCTGAATGTATTCATAGGCCAACATTAGGCTGAATCCAAAAATATGCAGCCCTTAAATAGTGTAACTGACAGATAAATTCAACAAATAAATAAGCCAAATATCTACGAATTATACCACACAATAAAATCAGTCTAATGTCCCCACAAACAGACACTTAAAGATCATGATCTGATCATAACAGGAAAAATGCTCAGAGTAGGTGATTTAAAGTAAATGTTTAAAAATATGAATTGTGAAGCAATGGATTTGTTATTTGCAGTGTTTTTTTTCACCTCTCAGAGAGTTCACCATGCTGACAACACTTTAAAGGGATAGTTCACTCAAAAATGAATATTCTGCCATCATTCACTCACCCTCAAGTTGTTCCAAACCTATACGTTTCTTTCTTCTGCTGAACACAAAAGAAGGTATTTTGAAGAATATGGGTAACCAAACAATTGTGGGGCACCATTGACTTCCATAGTATGTAAAAAAAAAAAAAATACTATGGAAGTCAATGGTGCCCCACAACTTTTTGGTTACAAACATTCTTCAAAATATCTTCTTTTGTGTTTCACAGAAGAAAGAAACTCATATAGGTTTGGAACAACTCGAGGGTGAGTAAATGAATTTTCATTTTTGGGTGAACTATCCCTGTAAACATCAGCATGATTATCTGCATGCTAAAATTCTCCTTGACCAGTGTCTATTCTATTCTACTCTATTCTATTCTCTTTAAAGCATCACAACAAAATGAGTATGGCTGTTGACAAAAGGACAAAAAAAGCTGTAAAGGAATTGTGTACCTTGAGAAGCAGAAGAAGACGTAGACGATAATAGTTGCTAACTCCACACTGTGTTTCCAGTCCTCTCTCAATACCCGGGCCAGAGCTCCGAGTGCTGTCTCTGAAAAACATTAAACACATCACAAACTCACAAGCAACTGGATAATGATCGCTGATACAGATTAATCCAACACACTCCACCACAAAAATAAAAAATATATTGCAAGAGAAGTCAAAACCGCTACAATTGCTGCTGTTGTGCGGCAGTTCATGACTTTTCATATGTTTTGAGAAGGAAGTTTGTTATAGAATAATAATACTGTTGACAGTGAATTGAGGAAAAATCAATTGGTTAATTTAGTACCATTATGTAGGAGCTCCTCCAGGTTATCAGGGTTACGGGCCAAATGGAGGATCAGAGTGGACCCTCTGATCTTCTCTGGGACGCTGTCATACAACAGCTCTATGTATTCATCGATTTTATTAATATTGGCCTCCTCCTCAACCTGAAAAAAAAAAAAGGATTATGGAAAATTGGGAATACATCAACTTCAGTTAAAACTATGGCTATCAATCAACTAAAAAGTCTGTCACAGTTAAAGCATTCAGGAAACTAAATAATAGGACTGTTATGTAAAGACACTGTCCTTTATTGATATTAACATTTCTATCAAGGAGGTTGTGTGTGATATTTTATTTGTTGAGCTTCATTGTTGTTTGAATTACAGCATTCAAAGACTGTAAATAACTTTACTTTTGCTAGACACCCCATCAGGGTTTAGTTTATATACAAATTGGAAAGGTTTGTTCCATTAGTAGGTAAAAATGAATCAGTTTTCATGTCAAATTAGATAAACGGCATTCAAAATAAGCAGCATTTACCATTTTTAAGTAATCACTCGTGTTAATATATTCACTTTGTCAGACCTAATTACATAAAACTTCAAATGTGTTTGGGTGGGAAACAAAGCGTACTTCCATTCCTTCAAACGGCAGGAGTTCTCTGGGTTTCGGTGGTTTCTTTTCCTTCTTCTCCGCTAAGGACAGACAACATGAAACAACAAATGCCATCACCATTAAAATGTCATATTATATGATAAAAAATAAATAAATAAACAAACACTACTAAAAACAACACGATTGTGAGTAGCTCATATAAAAGTACATCTAAAAAAAAACTTTTTTTAAGAGGGATTTACATTTACTGCTGGGCTTCTTTCGGTTCTTTAAATACAGCAGCAGATGCTCCACCTCCGCCAGTTTTGATGGATGAATGATTTTACACTCTTCCACCACCTTCCTGGCCAGGGAGGAAATATCAGTGCTGGAATTCAGACTCCTCAGCCTGATGCTAAAGAACAAACATAGACACAAAAAAAAAGTTGAATGAAATGTAATAAACAGAATAGAGAATGTACAGAGTGTGTGCATACACCAGCTTATCTGCTTACATTTTCTGGCATTCCTTCTTTTCCTCATGCCTGGGATTGCCCGACTCTCCTAAAATGGATGCTTCCACCTCATAATACACCACTAGAGCCTTTTCTGTGGGATGCACATCTATATCACCAATCCTACATTTCCTAATAGACACAGGAGAGATCAAGATTGGATGTGACAGTGAGTTGCAATAAACATCGGCTGTGTCTCAAACCCTAGTGTGCTGCTGTCAAGCCTAAAGAGCACAAGAGCGTGCATCATAGGTGCAGCTCACTCGGGACGCGCCCAAAACACTACATAAATGTCTAGATGAGCAGATTGGAGACACTGGCATCACAACGGGATGGTGACAGTAGACCACGCCCATCTGCAAGTGGAGCGGATGAATTTGACCCAGATTTACACTACGACTATATAGAAATTATAATGAACTAATTCGCTTGGAAATAAAACCAGCGTGAGTAAATACCCAGATTAATAGTATAGTATACACGGATTATATGCAGTGTCTCTCCCTTAATACATGGTCATAATCGTATTAACATAACGCTGTCATACTGCGATGTACGTTTAGGTTAAATGTAATGGTTACCGCTGCAAATACTGCGAATCGTCCGGCTGCATTTTATTCCGTTCATGTGAAAGCGCGAGACGTCGGTTTGGCTGCTCTTCAGACTGTTGACATGAATGAGAATCAAAGCATCGTTCATCCGCACTGCACTGATCCGCTGTCACACTCACATCTGATGGGGCGAGCCGGGGGAACAGAAGCCTGAACTGAGCGCGGCCGCCACCTGTAGGACAGGAGGAATAGCAGGGAGTTTCCAAATGAACATGTTCTGTTTAGTTTTCACTTTTTCGCAAATTGCATCGTTGGAAAATAACATTTTAAAGGGGTCTCTCAATAAAATGCAGTATTTTTTACCCACATGTCATTTGATCACACACACACACACACACACACACACACACACACACACACACACACACACACACACACACACACACACACACACACACACACACTCTCTCTCTCGTTAATTTAAATAAAAAGCCTAAATGTAAATATGTAAATAAATAGTTGACCAGATTTAAAAAATGTTTGTGCAGGTATCAATTATTAGATTGTTGAATCTCAGTGATGACTTCTTATTTTCCATGTGCTTTTTTTAAGATACCGGTGTTGGTGTTATGGATGTGTAATTGTGTATGGTTATTTGTAATACTTTTATCAGGTGATGAAATGCTTATCGTGTCCACTCCAAATTTCCCTAGGGACAATAAAGTACAAAGTAAACAATTTCGTCAAGTTATATAAGTTGAACAATTTACATGTTTCCATAAGACAAAAAACATGCATTTCATTGGAAATTATGTATTTGGTTATATGCCAGTAATTTATTTAGATATGTGTTTTTATAGTAGGGAATATAATCAAATTTATGCATAAGTGAAAGCAGTTAGACTATATCTGCAGTCATAATATGATTGACTCTAACAGTATGAGTTGAGCTGGTCTTTTTTGAAAGTAATATATAAAGAATAACTTATAATGATTAATTCAATTTAAGGGTGTAGGACTTCCAAAAGTATAAATAAGTACATTCATAAAATAAACTTTTTGACCATTTTTATAATTTTCCTTTGTGGCTTTGCTTGTGTGCTATGTTGGCTATGGTCACCTATGTGTTTGTTCTGGCTGATTTTATGGATGGGTTTATATTCAGTGAGCAGTGATATGTTTGTTGACATTGCTGATTTCACAGCTATCTAACAGCAGAACTCATATATCCTGCTGATTTTTCTAGCTCTTCTCTGTTTTTCACTCCAAAATAGGATGATAGATTTTGTTTTTCCTGGCAAGTAATCCAAACCCATAGGTGAATGTTTAGAAAAACTTTTAAATGAGGAGTTTCCCCATAACAGTTTCACAAGTTTTGCTCTGACTAGATGACAGTGTTCCAAAAACAAGTCACCAGATGTTTATAATATCTTCTGCGCAATATAAAAATATGCTGTACCATAAACATCAGCCATTCGTATCTTTTATGCTGATGATCAGCTCTTAATTTCAACAGTGGACACCAATAGATTGTGTTACGTTTTAAAAGAGTGAGAGAATCCATAATGTTTGGGCCTAGTGAAAGCAATATCAACAGCATTGGGTGGCCTATATATAGTGGCGTTACTAAACTCAGCGGCCTATAGCACAGGGCAGCGGATATACTCTCTGCATGAGTTCCCACGGATTCAGTCTAGTGACCTTTACCAGTTATACTATACTATAATGATCTACACTGGCTCACGCATGTGAGTCATAACATTACCCAAAACCGGTTTACCATAATTAAATGTTTTCATATCTCATAATGAATCATCCGGTGGATCCATGCACCGGTCCAGTCAGCCCTTGAAAGCTGGCCAGCATTTTTTTTAGGGATATTTTCAGGGAAACCTTTTCTTTTTTTCCAGATGCATCACAGTCAGGGCTATACTATTACGGAGTTCACTGGCTGCTGATGTTGTTGAGGATTCACCGTATATAATGCTAAAACAACACATAAGAGTGCCCGCTCTGCTTACGGTTGTTTGCTATAGCACATTTTTGTCCCACCGCGAAACACGATGCTCGTTTTCCCGGCCCACCCTGCAAACCACCCTCTGACACATGAGAGCTGTCTAGCACGCACTGCAGCACACTGTAAACCCTAATGCTCAAAATAATTAATTGGTTTGAGTAGGACAAACTTGAATTAAACACATTAGTTCAGCCAAATTAACTTTTATGAGTATTTAGCACTTTCTTTTTCTTTCAAGTTCACTGAACTGATATATTTTAAGTAAACTGAACTGTTTCATTGTTTTGAGTTTTATGAAATTATTTATTTCAATTTAGACGAACTTAAGTTTAACTGAAACAGCTGGGATGTCTATTTGCAGCATGCTTTGCCGATGGCACTCGAAAGGGAGAGTAAATGTTAAAATTAAGTGTAATATAATGTTTTTTTGTGTGTAAGATTAATGTTATGTGTGAGATTTAGTAGGGATTCATGTTTTGTTATGCTAATTTAGAAGAATTTCTGTTAATGTTGGCTTTAGGATAGTTACCATCATGGTGACAAGTGGTGCATGCAGCTTGATTTGAGAGTAAATAATCCATTTATATTGCTGTGCTCATACAGCAAATGTTTCTGTATAACATACTATTGCTAATTTGTTACCATTTACTATGTTAGCAGATTAGCTTTTTAAAGCTAACTAAGTTTATACTAATAAAAGTATTTTGAGTTCTGCCAACTTATTTGGGTTTACAGTGTACTTCATAGAATTAAGTTATGTTAACTGAATGGAATTAGTACTATTAACTTTATTTACCCAAGTTATCTTAACAATAAGTTATTGAGTTACTTGAACACAAATAAAATATTTTTTTAAGCTTAAATTGTTTGAGTTAATAAACTTAAATGATTTAAGGCAATCGGTTTCCTCAAACGGTTTGAGTTGAACTAACTCATCAGGTTTTACAGTGCAGTAACAGCAAAGTAAAACAGTAATCTAACTAATTTGAAACATTTTGGGGTGATTTACAGGCAAAGCTGTGAAATATGACTTTAATAATGGCTACAATTGGCTCCACTGCAGTCTGTGTGAGAAACGCAGAAGAGCTCGAGAGCTTATGAAAAAGGCGGCACCGTTTGGCATATTTCTGGCAGCACATTTGTTATCAATGAAATGTGAAAATGACTGTGGTGTGGCTGTTACGGTTATTGCAGACTGAACTGTTGATGAAGTTGCTGTCCTGTGGTTCTGTTGTAATTGAGCTGAAGGTACTTTCATGTGTCAGACTGTGGTGTGTGTGTGGTGCCAGTGGGCTGACTGGATTGGTGCTGCCCTACATTTACAAGCCAGCTTGTTTGTTTCAGGAGTTCATAACAGTGCGATTTTACTGTTGACAATCTGCGTCAATAAGGCATTTAGCTATATTTAGTGATTTTACTGTTTTGACAGATTGAAAAAACATTGGTATACTGATCCTAAATGGAAAAAAACAAACATTTTTTTTATTAAAACAGAGCAACTTAATTATTGGCTGAACTTGTTAAAATTGTGCCCAGAACATTGAGGGAACATTTCTCAAACTACTGTGTGACCTTCAGGGTCATTACACTCACTTCAGAAGTCATTACACTTCAGAAGCTACTTTGACACTCGTTCGGTCCCCTGGCTTCCCTCTCATGTTTTATGCACATGCCTTGTACGACCCGTAGGTGAGCGGCATGCCACGTCTGACACCAATAATATCCATAAGGTAACAGAGCAAAATGAGATCAAACACGGGAGCCCTCATACTACACCACCACACCAAACATGTATACCAATTTAGAATGTCTCTTTGCTTTTTATATCACAATCACTGTTAAAAATGTAATTCTTCAAAGGACCCATTTCACTGTAACCTTCTGAAAACAATTAAATGAAGGACTGCTTAGCATGGAGGCTCCCCTTGAGCATTATAAGCATCTCAGCCACGTTAATCAGAAGAACAAACATGGCCACTGATCATAGTTCTGTGTGCAGATTTATGTCGGCGCTGATGTGGAATGAAGATGGGGAGAGTTTCACAATGTGCGCCTGCTCCAGAAAGAATGTTGTTCATTGTCACATGATGTGGGAGAAGACAGGCAATATCCAACAACCCCCCGATACCCCCTCCCTGCCGGGCGCACATCTTGCCCGCAGATGTGGTGATACCACAAACACTTCAAAGTGCCTCCCCTCAGACCAACTGATATTCTGACGCCAACTGTAAATGTCCTGGACACGCAGGGTGGAAAATATGAAACCTTTTAAATGACTCTAGACTAGAGGAACTCCTTGAGAAAAAGAAGCACTTCCATTGTGACTGTGGAAAAGTTCAAACAAAAGAGTTTTTCTATCTGAAGAGTCATTGTATGTATCTGAAAGTGAATTAGGCCTCTGTTGCAGGAAAAAACATTGGCTCTCAGTATTTACAGGGATAAAAAGTTGTTTTGGATTATGAAATTATGTATGTTTATGCTTTGATACCTGCAATAATGTTCAATTACACACACACACACACACACACACACATATATATATATATATATATATATATATAATGGATACACTGGGTATTATTATGTGAAAATGTTTTCTATTTGAATATCTGTTTTAATCTGTTTTAAAATGTAACATGAGTGTCACATGATCCTTCAGAAATCATTTTAATATGCTGATTTGCTGCTCAAGAAACATATTTCTTTTTATTATCAACAGTTGTGCTGCTTAATATTTTTGTGGAAACCATGATACATTTTTTCCAGGATTTTTTTAAGTTCAAAACAACCGCAATTAAATGTATTTAAATTTAAATCTTTTGTAACAAATGTCTATTGTCACTTTCAATCAAATTAATGCATCCTTGCTGAATAAATTTATTAATTAAAAAAATTGTACTGACCTCAAACTTTTGAATGGTAGTGTATATTATGGATATATATACCAAATGAAATAAATATCATTATTTAGGTTGAATTAAATAAAAATTGGAAACATTTTTTAGAATTCCAGTACTCTGTTTTCTTTCTCCTAAATGTTGTATTAGTCATCTCTACTTCAAACAGTATGTAAGTAAAGGTCTTTAAAGGTCCTTATGGTAGAGACAGCAACACTTTGACCTCAGCCACAAAACAACAACTGAGAGACCACAATTAGAGCAAGAGAAAACGCAT